GGGATATGTGATTATGTATTTTTGTCATGACAGGAGTCTAGAACGAAGGTTGCATAGTGGAGTGGACCTAGGGGAGGGATTGTAAAACAATGAAAGAATTTTTTCTTTTCAAAGAGAAGAGTATACTGAATGGCGGGCAGGGAGAAAAGTGCAACAATGAATGAATGGAAATCCAACGTTTCTGTAAATTTTCATTAAAATTAATAATAATAAAAATTTCTTTGAAAAAGAAAAGCTAATATTAAAAAAGAAATCCTGCAGGCAGTGTTACTCTGTTCTGTAGGGTCACCATGAGTTGCAGTTGACTTGATGACAATGAGTTCCCAGTGAGCAGATATCTGAAATATATTGTCATGTCCTTGACCTTCACTATTGAAATTGCCTCTCAGGCCACCACTCTGGGTCTCTTCTTTGTTTTGATTGCTCTGTTCTTACCATTTCAGTCGCCTGGTTTTCTAATCAGAAACAGATTATGAGCATTGACTAAGAGAAAGAGGGAGAGGAGAGCAGCAGTGGGAGCTGGAAAAGTAACTGACACTCAGGCAGTGAAGAGGAGGCAGACAGTTGAATAAAGGCAGTGGAAGAGCTCAGAGGCCTAACACTCTGGGCCTTTTGGTGTAGAGTCTTACACTTCCCGACTCTGAGTACGTTGTTGTTGAATTTGCTTCTAGGAAGAAACTAAAAAGAAAAAAAAGAAATCAAAGGAATCTGAGATCAGAAAAGACTTTCCCAGATCCTGGTTGGTGAAGACCCTCTTCAGAACTTTCCGCAGCCAACTCCTAAAAGGGTTCCTGTTGAAGCTAGTGCATGATATCCTCTTATTTCTGAATCCTCAGCTGCTTAAGTGAGTACTCAGGCCTTAGATTGTCCTCATGGGGCCACCTCTGCCACCCTGCTTTTGTCCCTTGTGTGTCGAGGCAGGAGCTTATCATTACGTTTCCATTTGAAGATGCTCACGATTATCCTCCACGTTGCAGAACTGTATTTGTGAGAAAACCATTTTTAAGATCTAAGATGAAATGCAGACTTTAGTTCGCCTTGATATTTGTTGAGCGCTGGTGTCTAACCCAAAGGCACTAAGTTAGTTCCTCAGGAGAAATTGCACAGTTTCCTCTTTTGTGGTTTACAGCCTCTGAAAACCCATTGGAGGGTCAGCTGTGAGTAGATTCTGACTTGATGGCACACAACAACAACAACAGATATATGTTAGGAGTTCTTTATTGTAAAACAAAACTGCTATGGCTGAACTTTGGCTGAGTGAGAAGCATGCCCCAGGAGAGCTTTGTGTCAAGTGTCTGTAGTGGTGTCTCCCGAGTTACAGTCTTCTGTGGAAGGATCAGGTTAATCCTGACAAGACTTTACAATCCTCTGAGATCTATGGCATGAATGAACCATTCAACAGGGAATACGTTTCCCCTTCATCCTCATGACAGATGCACATGCTCATTTCTTCTCTGGCTTTTAGAATACAGGAATTGGATCGTCCTGCCCGACCTAGCCACAAAGTCTCTTTTACTTAAGTGGAGCTGGGGGTGGATGCATTGCAGTGGTTTTCTGGAGCCTTCCCTTCCCTGTCTATTCTCATGGCCATTGGTCATCACCCTACAATCTGTCCCCCAATCTCCAGGCAAAAGCAAGAGTAACAGTAAGGCTGCTAGATTTTTTTTTAGATTCTTTTCCTAAAGATGTTTGGCCATTCTGGTTACTTTTGCTACTACAATGTAAAGTAAGATATCTCACTATGAACAAGAAGTGTTGTAAACAGCCTTTGGAGGAGGCCTGATGGGAGTATCGCTTACTTGATTTTTCTCTTGGCAGACTGCTGATTGCCTTTTCAAATGATCCTGGTGCATATGTGTGGACTGGGTATATCTTTGCAATTCTCCTCTTTGTTGTGGCTCTCCTCCAGTCCTTTTGCCTGCAGTGGTACTTTCAGTATTGCTTTATGATGGGCATGAGTGTACGATCCACCATCATGGCTGCCGTATATAAGAAGGTAAGCTAAATACAACCAAAGAAAAGCTTAGTAAGCTTGAGGGAATGATTTCAAGATCGAGGCAAAAATGATGTGATGATAATTGACCTCAACATTTGATTTTGAGTAACCATGCAGCTTTCTTTAAATGTTTCTTTGGAAATGAAAATGTAAAATGCATGTTCATTAAAGGGGACCTGCGGGGCAGTGCACTCAAGGGAAATGCCAGCAAACTGTCCCATTCAGGATCTCTCTTTCAGCCTTAAAAGTTCAGATACCTGATCATTCTCTCAACAACATGAGAATGCTTGGGGGAAAAATGTAAAGTCAGTAACAAAGCTGGTCACGGCATGGGGGCGTATTTGTGTGTGTGTGAAATTGGAAGAATCTGGTGTGAAAATCAATGTATTTTAATTTTGCAAATAAACTACTATAAAAAAAAGATATTTTATAAGTCCAACTTATAAATATACATAAGCAATTGAATGCTTTAAAAGTTATCTTTTAAAGATTGAGTAATAGTTCCCAAGAAGACATCATGAGAAATAGGATACTTAACATGTTAGATGCAAAAGTAAGAAATATGATCATTATGATGCTGCTCCTGCTGGTAGTAATGACCTTCACAATGATGGTCCTAATGATAGTGAATTCTTACTGCGAACCTTCTCTGAATAATATCCTAACTTTTGTATTTACTTTACACGTGTTTGAGGCATAGACTTGCTGGAATTTTCTTCACTAATTTTTCTTGGGCTTCAAACTGTGGAATTTCCATCTATCTAAGATATTTAATTGTTTTAAGATTATAATACTTCTACCAAAACCAGGATCTGGGCACCAATAAAGCAATGTGTGTGTGTGTGTGTGTGTGTGTGTGTGTGTGTGTGTGTGTAGCTAGTCAAGGGTCAAGCTCTTAAAACCACCAATATTTAAACCAAATGCTTAATGAAACTGAGCTGAGAAGACCTGATGCATCCATCTCAAAATTACAATCTTGTCAGTGAATCTAGAGTGTTTGATAGATAAAGGCTTTATTTCCTCAGAACTGCTTTTGTCTAACAACTTAAATAGGTTACCAATATTGTGGAAGATTTGGAAACAAGAAGGCACAGTTCCTTGGGGAAGTTGTGCTCACCTGGAGATTCCATTATGTTCTCCTTCCCAGAGCTCCTCTACTGAAGTAGTGTCATTGAGCTTCTACATGGACTCAACCTTGATTTTTCTTTTTTTAGGCCCTGACCTTATCCAACTCAGCCAGAAGGGAGTACACTGTAGGAGAAACAGTGAACCTGATGTCTGTGGATGCCCAGAAGCTCATGGATGTGGCCAACTACATCCACTTGCTGTGGTCAACAACAGTGCAGATTATTTTATCAATCTACTTCCTGTGGGCAGAATTGGGACCTTCCATCTTTGTAGGTGTTGGGGTGCTCGTGCTTCTAATCCCCTTTAATGCAGCACTGGTCAACAAGAATAAGACTGTTCAGGTAAGGAAGCAGTCACTCTGGGCTAACTTCTTCAACATCTAAACTCTTTTGCTTACTCTGCTTTAACTCTTAGCCAGCTAGAAGGGCTATCCGCAGGCTCCTCTTAGCTCTACTAGAAATCAGCGTTTGGGTGGGTAGACTTATTGGTTTGAGTTTATAAATCATTCATTTAATTACAAGTATAGATTTTTAAAAATATACAGTGCCCATCTTTCTAGATGAGGAATATAACTGAAAACTAGACAGGTTTCCTTCTCTCACTGAGCTTACATTCCACTTGAGGGTTGGAGAGATGAGCCATAAGCAAAGACAATTAAATAATGGAAATAACAGCTTATAGTTAGTACTACACAGAAAATGAATAGGGTGATATGACAGTGAGTGGGAAGGTGGGTATTTTAGGTGGGAGGTACCCAAGAGGCCTCACTGAGGAGGGAACAGTTAAGTGATCTCAGTGCCACTAGCCTGACTAGGAAGGAATGGACTTTGGGAAAGACAAAGGAAGAAGGACTTGGGGGAAGAGGACAGTTAGGCAAAGGCTATGGGGTAGAAATGAAATTGGCATGCTAAAGGATCAGAAGGAAGACCTAAGTAGTGGGAATAGTGTGGGCAAAGAAAAAAAGTTAGTATCCTAACGCTGGGCACTTCAAGTTCTTCTTAAGTGACAGGCATAGCTGTCCCACCTTGAGACCTGGCACCTGCAGTAAACCTGGAATCAATCTCTCTCTCTCTCTCTTTCTCTCTCTTTCTCTCTCTCTCTCTCTCATGGAAGCATCCTGTGTTTTTATTTTATTTTTTCCTGGCAGGCAAAAAATATGAAGAATAAAGATAAACGTTTAAAGATTATGAATGAGATTCTCAGTGGAATCAAGGTAAGGAATTGAACCCAGAAGCAGTGCATTTCATGGACCAAATGTCTCTTGGTGAAAGGTTGTGTCTTCCTGCTTCTGGTCCAATGGAGCATCAGATAGCTTTTGGTTTTTCTACCCACTTGTCTCATTTAATTTCCTATTTTAGGAGAGTTCTGGTGGCCTAGTGGTAAGGACCTATGCTGCCAGCCCAGCCCTGTGGGAAAAAGATGGCCAGTCTTCTCTTGTGCCATCTACTGCTACTGTAAAGCTCCTAGAGGGTTAGATATGAGTTGGTTCCACCTTGATGGTACATAACAAAACTCCTCCTGGCAAGCCCTATTTTAAAACTTACTTTCTCTTTATTTACCCTAAATGCTTCTTATCTTGCTCTTCCATTTTATTGTACATATTTTCAAATATGTGCAAAAATAGAGACAGTACTATAATGAATCCTCTTAGATCAATCACCTCACTTTCAAAATTAGCAACAGGACCTAACCAGTTTAGCTATTTCAACATTCCTTACCTCATGACGTACAAATAACAGATATTCTGTCACTTCCTTTGTAAATAATTTGCCTCTAAAAGAGAACCATGATAGTAAGGTTACACCTAAAATATTAACATTCTTTGATATCCTCAAATTCCCTCAATTACCTTTTCCCCCCCCTTAGAAACAGCTATTTTTGTAAAAGACAGTTTTGTACTAATATACATGTCTTTCTGGAGAACAGAAGCCCATGCTGAGATGGGCTGGGGCGTGGAATGGATTAATCACATGAAGCCATCCAGTTTGGTCCCCAATTACCTTTTACTTTTTTTAATTGTTGGTTTGTTTCAATAAGGATCTAAAATCCATCCATATATGACATTTAATAGATAAGCATTTTTTCAATTACAGTACTCCTTTCTGCTCTTTCTTTCCCCATTGTGTGTTCGTTAAACCAAGTTATTTGTCCTATCTTCTGTATTTGCTGTAAATGGACAGATCTAGAGGCTACACTGGGTTTCTGAGGCTGTAAATCTTTACAGAAGGCTGCTCATCTTTCTCCTACAGAGAAGCTGGGGCTTCAAACCTCCAACTTTTGGTTAACAGCCAGGTATATAGTGCACTGTGCTAGTAGGCTCCTTAAGAACTCCTTGTGTGTTTCTAATATACACCAGTGTTAAAATCACTGCTATGAAAATCCCGAAGTAATCAGCCCAATGTATCATCAGATTTTGCAAAAGATTCTATCATTCATTTTGTTTCCTTAATTGAAATTCTTTAGAGAAAACTACACAGCAGATAGGATACATGTTTGCTTCTTTCTATTAACAGCTTTCAAAAGAACAGCTTTCATGCTCCAAAAGTGACGAAAAATACATTGTTTTATTGTTAATTTTTTTAAATTCATGGATTATTTTTTAACTTTACCCTAAACTTCTTAAAAATGAAATAGACATCCCTTTAAAAGATTTCTGCTATGGCTTTTTTTTTTTTTTTTTTTTTGTTTTTCCAGTGCCTCTAGCGCTTCGTTTGTTTTTTTTTTTTTGCTATGGCTTTTTAAAAATATGACAAAATTAAGAAGGTAGAGTCTTTGAGTCTGAGCTCTACCGCATTCCAGCTTAGTGAACTTGAATAAGTTATTTCCTTGACGAGCCTGTTACTTCACTGGAGAAAAGTGGACAATAATTCTACATAGGTTGGAAGGCCTTCTTGCTCTGGTTTGCCCAGAACTTTTCAAGTTTTAACACTGAGGACCCTAAATCCAGTAAACCCTCTTAATGCTGGGCAAGCTGGGACAGTTGGCCACACTGAAGATGTTTAAAGGATTAAGTGAAATAATATATATAAAAAGCTTGGGACACAGAATAGGTTTTCTACAATTACATACTACCTTTCTATAATCACATTTCATAATCTGGATTTCCACCTGTCCATACTTTAGACACTGTGTTCTAAAACATGGTTAGATGAGACATACCCGGTGGCCCTTCAGGACAATGGTCTGAACAATGCTCTTTTTTAAATTTCTTAGATCCTAAAATATTTTGCCTGGGAACCTTCATTCAAAAACCAAATCTACAACCTTCGGAAGAAAGAGCTCAAGAACCTGTTGACTTTTGCTAAAGTACAGTCTGTGATTATGTTCATCTTATTCTTAAGCCCGGTCATGGTGAGTAGCAGAGGAGTCAATGCTTGTGTATGCTTTGACCTTGGATCAGCTTCCTGGAGGGACAGGTCTATGTAGAATGTCCAACACCCCGAAGTGCTGTTGTTGAAGTCCAGAGGATTCAAACTCGCTTTTCAACCCCCCTCATACTAATAGAGCTACCTCATGACCCCACCTTCAACCCTCACTCTCAAATCTTGAAACTTTGGTTACACGCTTGGATGCTATTTTTAATATTTTCAGCACGAATGTGACAACCAGGCAGAATTTGCGTAGAAGAGTTTCTTATCTTCCTGAGGAGGCAGTATGAGTATATAGTGAAAGAAATGTTGGTACCAAACTCTTGCCCAGTAATGTCATTAATTGACTGTGACCTTGGACAATTTATTTCCCCTTCTGGGCTCAATGTTCTTATGAGTAAACTTGAGGAAGTTAGAATAATTGATAAGATCCTCTTCAACTCTCTGTGGTTGGTCCTCAACTTTATAATGTACTTGAGTTATAACAAATTATACCTAACACTTGTCCTTTTCTTTCTTGTTTTGTATATCTTATCACTAATAATTGGGAGAATAGGCAGTCTCCTCCCATTTGATTTGTTGTTGTTATTATGTGTCATCATGTGACCAAGACTAATAGCAACCCTATGCATACTAGCTCTGAACCCTGCCCCATCCTGAGCCAATCTCATTGCCTGTGATACACCTACCCTCATTACTCCAGTTATTGTGTCAGTCCATTTCGTCCAGGGCCTTCCTTTTCTGTGCTGTTCCTCCACCCTTCCAAGCATGATATTTTCTCCAAAGGCCAGTCCCTCTTGGCTACATGTCCAAAATACATGAGATGGAGTCTCAAAATCTTTGCCTCCAAGGAGGGTTTCACCCTCTCCAGGACATATCTGTTCGGTCTCCTGTCAGTCTATGGTATATTCACAACTCTGCAGCACAACTCAATGGCATCAATTCTTCTTCTGTCGTCTTTGCTCACTGTCCAGTTCTCTACTACATAGCAAGTAATTGTGAAGACTCATGGCCTGGAACAGGTGCACCTTAGTCTCTAGACTCTTAGACTCTAGACTTAGTCTCTAGATCTCCTTCCTCTTCAGCACTCTGGAGACTTTCACACTGGATATAAGGCCAAGGACTCAAGGAAGGGACCAGAGAGAAAGAGAGACAGCTCAAGGAAGCTTTATTAAGGGAGCTACTAGGTGGAATTCTTTGGTCTGGAGAGAGAAACAGACCAGGGTAAAACCATGCTCTAAGGTGGGTTAGGGCAGGTTTTGATAGTAGGGTCTTTAGGGAGGGAAGGGAGGGACCATCCATTGTGGTTTAACCATGTGGACAAGGCTGTTAACTCCCTTTGTTGACATGTTGATATTCTTTGAATCCTTTATTCTCCCTCTTGACCTTGGTCTGGGCCTGACAGTCCCTGACCTCAGATTTCCCTAATGAAGTTTGCATTTTGGTTTCCTGACTGCTGGTGCCAAGAGTGTTGGTTGTAGAACTGAGCAAGCTGAAACGGTTAATAATCTCAATCTCTCCTCCATCTATCACAATGCCACCAGTTGCCTTTGAAAACCTGCTGAAGGGTCAGCTATGAGTCAGTTCTGACTCAATGGCACACAACAACAACATCACTAGTAATATGTACTGCAAATGGTATGGCGAGTTGTTGATCTTATTATCTGTAGCTTATACATAGTGTTTCCAATCTCCTGAAGTTAAAGAGCAGATTTATGAAGATACTAATAATAAATAGTAATGACTTTTTTTTAAAAAATGCCATATTCTACTTACACCAGTACCTACTATGACTGAGGTACCAGAATGAAACTCCTTGTAAATTGAAGGTTGTCTGTACTGTGCTTTTGAGATTCAGGACAAGGCTTCTTTTTTAGCAATAAATTGCTTATGACTTGGTTCTTCCCAGGTGTCTGTGACAACATTTTCTGTTTACGTCCTGGTGGATAGCAACAATGTTTTGGATGCACAAAAGGCCTTCACTTCCATCACACTCTTCAATATTCTACGTTTTCCCTTGGGTATGCTTCCGATGGTAATTGCCTCTGTTCTGCAGGTAAGTAGCAATGTTCCCAGCTATGGGCTTATTTAGGTTAAAAGCCTTAGATTCCAGAATGTCTGACATGTCTATCCCAGGTCTAGTTCTGCTAGATAATTGTTAACCACAGAGCTGTTTGGTCTCTGGATATCAACATGCTCTCTGAACCCTAGTTTATCTGATGATAAGGATAATCACACCAATCTTATCTGCCTCAAGGAGGCAATGCTTATGAAAGCTTTAGTGTAATTATTATGATTAGCCTTAGAACCTTTCTTAGCTCCTTACCCAGTTAGTTTCTCTGAGATTTACCAAAAAATTATCTAAATAAAAGCAGTATGCTGGTTTTATTAATTCTGTTCCTAGGGTCTCTATGAGTTGTAGTCAACTCACATAACAGCAACAAAAACATACAGGTTTGGGTTCAGGAGAGGTTCCTTAGCTTTCCTTTCTAATGAGTTTACTGCTGCTAATCCTTTGTATATAATAAACTTCTACAGATTTTTCAGGGCTAATATGACATAAACAGAAAGAAAAACCAATGAAAGAATTTTACTTTTCAAAGAGAAGAGTGAACTTGGGGCGGGGGAGGGGTGGGCAGGGAGAAAAATGCAACAATGAATGAACGGAAATCCAAAATCTCTGTAAATGTTCATTAAGATTAATAAAATAATTTTTTAAAGAGAAAAAACATTTGCTAGTAAAATCCTAACACAACTGAATGTCAAGTGTTGGAAAATATGTTTGGAGTTTGGTAGACCTTGAATGGGCCAGAGAGTGTCCAGTCAGAGAACAGAGATGGAATAAATAGCAGAGATCAACAGAAAATTCCCAGGGCAGATGGCAGATGTGAGACTACCTGACTGACATAATGACAGGGAGATAGAGTGTGGTGACTATGAGGCCACGAGCAGGTGATCTGCATGGATCCAGAGGGGGCTGGGTTCAGTTAGTTCATGGCATGAGGACTCTCGTTGTTATGTGTCATCCAGTCAGAACCAGCTAATAGCTGACTCTCCAGAAGATTTTCCGAGGCTGTAAGTGGTCACAGGAGGAGAATAGCCATCTTTCTCATGAGAAGGTAGTGGATTCGAGCAACTTACCTTTGGGTTGGTGGTACAACTCTTAACCCTCTAGATCTCCAAAGCCCCTTACAGGAAGGACTAAGGTTTAGGAAGAAACCTTCCTATCCTTGAGAATATCAAGCCAGGTCAGCAGATTTGGGCCGTAATGAAGCAATGTGATCCTCATGGGTTCAGACATTTTTGCCAGCAAAGCAAAGATGTAAGCTGTCTGTGTCGCATGTCCTCTGAGATGAAATTGAAATGAGAGACCGAACAATGCGGTAACATGGGGAGATGTTGGTTGCAGAGGAGCTGGTTTCATGCTGCTATTAATAGTTTTAGAGCCTGCCATTGGACTCGAGAGGAGCTCTAGTGGCACAGTGAGTAATGCATTGGGCTGCTAACCCAAAAGTTCAGCAGTTCAAATTCACCAGCCGCCTCAAAAGAGAAAGATGGGCGGGCTCCTCCCATGAGGACTTACAGCCTTGGCAGCTCAGTGGAGGTTTGTACGGAGTTGGAAGTTACAGCATTGGGTGGGTGGATAATTGCAACTTAAGAAGAGGGCAAGGGAGCTCTAGTGGCCTAGTGGTAAGGAGCTGTGATGCCAACCCGAAGGCATGATGTTTGAATCCTCCAGTTTCTCTGTGGAGGAAATATGGGCAATCTCCTTCCACGAAACTTACTGCCTCTGAAAACCTGCCGGAGGGTCAGCTGTAAGTTGGTTCTAACTCCACAGGACATAACAACAACAACAAACAAGAAGGGGGCAGGGCAGAAAGCCCTTCCTCAAAACCCGAGCGGCAGTGAGAAGTTTGCTCATCTTCCATGCAAGTTAAGGAAGCAGGGAGGAAACGTCTTGTGGAAGCTCTTTGAAATCCTCCCTGGTTCTCAGCTGCTTTGCCTGCGTGCACCATGTGGAGACTTGTATGGTCGCCGTGGTGCTATGACAGCACTACATCTCCAGAGGATCCCAGCAGTAGATTAGTTTGGATACTAGAGAGTCATCAAGGTATAACCAAGCCAAAAACCCACCCTCATAGAGTCAGTGGAGACTCATATCAACCCGCCATCAGGTTTCTGGAATTGTAAATCTTCTTTTACAGACCAGAGGGTAGATTCAAATGGTTGACGTTTTGGTTAGAAGCATACTCTGCCACCAGAACTCCTTCATAGAGGTCTAGACTTGGTTAAAGAAGACTGACTACGCAGAGGCCCACTTACCAGAACCAGAGAGCATTGGTAATTTATCTTAGAAGAAGGCAGGAGCTGGTTTCAGGGGCCAAAGATCAAAGAGTGATAGCACTGGAATTGAACCCACTGAGTGAGTGACTGCAGTATATCAACTTTGATGACAGGGTGATTCCCAGGTCAGAGCAGAGGTGAGTCTATAAGGGGATAAGGAGGGCCTGGCCATGGTAACATAGTTGGGAGGAATTTGTGCTGTTAACCCAATGACAGTGTTTCTTTGGTGGTTCAGAGCCTCTAGCAGCTCCAGAGGGGAAAGATGGACAGTTTCTTCCCGTGTGATTTACAACTTCTGAAAAATTGCCGAAGGGTCAGCTATGAGTTGGTTCTGACTATGTATGTCATTGAGTTTAGGGCATTGTGCCATGGTAAATGACAAATCTATGGGCAAGAAACCTGGCAGGTTAAATGTCTATGTCCACACCCAAAACAGATGCTACAACTCTAGAAAACATCTCCCTGCTTGTGCTTGCTATTTGATTATTATTGAGATCTTCTGTGTTCCTCCCAGGCTAGTGTTTCCACAGAACGTCTAGAGAAGTACTTGGGAGGGGATGACTTGGATACATCTGCCATTCGTCACGACCCAAGTTCTGGTAAATGAATTTGGAAGTTGCTTTCCAAACTTATTCACAGTGGTGGTACCATAATTTTTGTATGTGTGGGCTTAGCAGCAGTAAGTGGATTAGAAAAGAAAGCTAAGGAATCTCTCTTGAACTTTAGTTTGCATAATAGGTAATAAAAACAGCATGCTACTTTCATTTAATTATGTTTTCGTTTGAAGCATATTGCTTTGCAAGATTGCTAAACAAAGCTAGGTTCCGTTGTTCTGAGGAGAAGCAAGTGTCCTGCAGAGGAGGTCCCAAATCAGTAGTCAGTATGGACCAGAGCAGGTAGATTTGGAAATTAAAAAATGCATGTATTTTGAAGGTTTTAAGGATTAGAGGTACCTATGACCAGAGCTAGCAGTGGTCTGGAATGCAGAATGAAGACTGGGTGGGTGTATATATGAGGTGAAGGTCAAACAAGGAGTCTGGGCTGCTGAAGGGTTTGACATTTATTGAGAATATCTGTAGGACAGGAAGGCGGGCTAACTATCAGACCTGGGACTCCTAAGTTTAAAAAGGCTTCGAATGGAAGTTGCTTTGGGCCTCATTTCAGGAAACGCTTCATCTCTAGTTAGTGTAGCAGCTAGCATATTGCAGAAGTGATCTTGGATCTATTGGACATACAAGAGCTGAGAATGGATAGACTGATGTGTGGAGACTTAATCTGACTTAAATGGTGGGGGGGTGTCTTTATCCCAACAGACAAAGCTGTGAAGTTTTCTGAGGCCTCCTTTACTTGGGACAGGGACACGGAAACCACAATCCGAGAGTGAGTGCCCTTCACCCCATCCTGCTGATTCTTCTTGCCGGTCCTGTTCTTAGAAAATTCTGTGTTACAGAACACATGGGTAAAGAGTGAGATGTGTGTTGAGTTAGTTCAAACTGCAGGCTGAATCTTTAGATTAATGTGCTGCCAGTAAAAATCTTGAGCCTCTCTCCTCAACATTGCATCTGTCACATAGAATTCTCTGTGACTGTGGGGTCAGGTCTGGGATTCATCAGACCTGAAACCCCACTCATAATCCTCTCAATCCAAATGCCTCCTTTTACATAGAACAGACTTGATATAGTTTCTCCTTCACTGGCTTATATGTAAAGGAATTTCATTTCCATGAACAGGTTCAGCAAAAGTCTGAACAAGTTCCTTATGTTCCTACTGTTTAGGGAATCAAAGACTAGGTCTTGTATAGGGTTATCAGGAATCTAGCTTAGTGCGTACCCTTCCCTGCTGTTGTTGTTATGTGCCGTCAAGTCACTTGCAACTCATAGTGACCCTATGTACAACAGCCCTAAACCCTGCTCTGTCCTGTGCCAGTCACACTGCCTCCGACACACCCATCCCGATTACCCCAGTCACTGAATCAATCCACCTCATAGAGGGTCTTCCCCTCCTGAGCCGTCCCTCCACCCTACCAAGCATGATGTCCCTCTCCAAGGACCTGTCCCTCATTACAACATGTCCAAAGTATGTCAGACGAAGCCCCAGAATCCTTGCCTCCAAAGATCAGCTCGGTTTAACTCTCTCCAGGATTAATCTGTTTGTTTTCTTGGCAGTCCATGGTACATTCAATTCTCTTCTCCAGCACCACGGCTCAATTCTCCTTCTATCCTCCCTAGTCGTTGTCCAACTCTCTGATGCATAACAAGTGATTGCGAAGACCATGGCCTGTATCAGATACCCTTCCCTAGTCAGACACAATTCCAAGGGAGGAGTCAGGGACTCTATGCATCTAGCAAGTGTTGGATAGTCAAGTTTGGGAAATACTAATCTAGTCAAGCCTCATGATAAATATGGATCCTAATTCCAGAGGAAGTGACCTTCCCAAGTTCATACAGCTTAGCAGTGACTAAATTGAGACTTGAACCAGGTCTCTGGTTCAAGCACCTAATCTGGGGCTTGTTCAATGGCATCATGCTGGTTCTAGGGGAATGTCTACACATGAAGCCCACATTGGGCACAGACAGCTTATAGGTGAGTTAGACAAATCAAGGCTCACTTTCAAGGTCCTTGGGGCTAAAAGAAAAAAAAATCATAGAAACACTATGCCATGAGACCTTATATATCCAAGGCAAATATTTCCAATCTCGAGGGGAAATCTCCTTCCAATCTCCCATTGGAAGTCCGGGTGACTTGAATATTCTTGAATAACATGGTATCTCTTTAAATACCCTTCTTTCTTTCAGTGTCAACCTGGATGTTACACCAGGCCACTTAGTGGCTGTGGTGGGCACTGTGGGGTCTGGGAAATCTTCCCTGATGTCAGCCATCCTAGGAGAAATGGAAAATGTCCACGGACACATTACTATCAAGGTAAGAGGAAATGCAAATGATGAAGACTTCCAACACTCAAATATGGGCCACAGTGAGTGCTGCCTTCACATTTGGGAGGAAGCACTGAGGACTAGCATCTGGTAACCACTGCTTTGGTTTCTCTAAATACATTCTTAGAGAAAGCTGATGGACATGTGAATCAAAGGAATCTTCCAAGTTTTCATATTCAGATTCTTGGAATAAGGACTGAGAATCTGCATCTTTAAGGTTCCCCAGGTGATTCTCATTAGCATACTAGTGTTTGATAACTGTTAGAGAAATCTGCCTTCAAATTATATCCATCTCTGCTGTAACTAGATACATGTTTCCAAAAAGTTCAACTTCTGCAAAATTGTGGAATAAAAATCATAGGCCCTTAGAAAAAGATGTTAGAAAACCAGAAGAACATTCTTGTCATTTATCAAGCTCAAAAAGTAAGAAAAAAATGTAAAGCCTCAAGTTTAAATGTTGATTTTTTTTAAGTAAAATATTGAACAATTCAGGAAACATCATAGAACATGGAAAGTATACTCAGAGTCATTGTACCAGAACAAATTGGTTGATGTTCAACCACTTAGGAAAGTAGCATATAATCAAGAACCAATGACTGAAGGGAAAAGTTCAAGCTCTACTGAAGGCATTATCAAAAAGCAAGGTTCCAGGAATTGACAAAATACCAACTGTGATATTTTGACAAATGCTTGCAACTCTGTTAAGTGCTCAGTCATTGATACTGAAAAATATGACAGCTATCTTGCCAACCAACAAATCCATATTTGTATTAATTAAAAAAAAAGATGATCCAACAGAATGTGGAAATTATCAAACAACAGCATTAATATCACATACAAGTAAAGTTTTGCTGAAAATAATTTAAAAATAATTGCAGAAGCACATCTCCAAAGAAGTGCCAGAAATTCAAACCACATTCAGAAGAGGACATGGGATGAGGGGTTTCATTGCTCATGTCAGATAGGTGTTGGTTGAAAGCAGAGAAAAAAAAACCAGAAAAATGTTTACTTGTGCACTATTTTCTATATAAGGCATTCAACTATATGGCCATGACAAATTATGGCTAACATTTTGAAGAGTGAGAATTCCATGAAACACTGTCCTTATAGACCGAAAAGCATTCAGTTGAATAGAATAAGAAAAAGTGTGTAAAGATTATATCCTTTAACCACACTTGTTCAATATGTATGCTGGAAAAATCATTAGAGAAGCTGAACTATAAGAAGAACAACACAGGATCAGGAATGGAGGCAGAAGACTCATCAACAACCTACATTATGTAGATGACACAACTTGTTTATGAAAGTAAAGAGAACTAGAAGCACTTATTGATGAAGTTCAGAGACTGTACCACCAGTATGGACTATGAGGGGGACAAAATCTTCCCTAAGGACCAGTAAGCAACATCATGAAAAATGGGGAAAATACTGAAATAGTAAAAAAATTCATTTTATTCATCTCTGCAATCAACACCCACTTACGCAGAAGTCAAGAAATCAAAGAATGTATTGCACTGGGCAAATCTGCTACAAAAGACTAAGGTATTGAGAAGCAAAGATATCTCCTTTAGGGGAGCTCTGGTGGCCTAGTGGCAAGGAGCTGCAACTACAATCCCAGAGGCGCACGGTTCGAATCCACCAGATGTTTTGCCAGGGATCGAGGGACAATCTCCTCCTGTATGAGTCGGATCTGATTTGACGGTACACTCACACAAAAAATAAAAAATAAATATCTTCTTTAAAAGAATAATCCTTTTTTATTGTTATTTTAATGAAAGTCTTCAGGAAACTTAGATTTCCATTTATTTATTGTTGCACATTTTTCTCCCTACCCCCTCAATTCACTTGAAAAAAAATTTCATTCATTGTTGCATAATTTCTTCCCTCCCCACTCCAGTCCAACATCTCTTTTTCTGAACTGTTGTCATGGATTAAGATGTTCCTAACTCAAGCCATGGCATTTTCAGTCACCTCATATGTAGGTGAAAACAGGACAGTGACTAGAGAAGATTGAAAAAATAATTGCCACATTTGAATTATGATGAACAATATTGACTATACACCATGGCCTCTCAGAAGAACAAACAAATTTGTCTTAGAAAAATTATAGCTAAAACACTCCTTACAGCAAGGATTGTGAGACTTAGTCTGATATATGGATTATGTTATTGGGGGGACCAGTCCCTGAAGGAGAAAATCACACTTGGTAAAATAAAGGGCTTGGAAAAAGAGGACCCTCCACAAGTGGATTGACATCATGGCTGTAACAGTGGGTTCAAACATGGCAACAGTTGCAAGGACATCACAGGACTAGACAGTGTCTCATTCTGTTGTCCTGAGGGTCACTAGAAGTCTGAACCTATCAACAACAACGAGGAAAAGATATTGGAGCATATCACTCAAACTTGAATGATTTTAAAGCCTTCTCTTAGGGCCGGTGCCTTCAATTCAGACTTCTAGCCTCTTAAAAACCTGCATGAATAAACAAGGATACACATACACAAACTATTGAAATACTTGCTACAGAAGGTCAAAGACTACAACCTTTAATATTGGTTGCATGGCAACATCAAGGAAAAAAAGTCCTCGTGACTGGCAATATCATGATAGATGGAGAAATGATTGAAGTAGTCAGTGATTTCATTTTACTTGGATCCACAATCAGCACCCATGGTAACAGCAGTCAAAAAGTCAAAAGAAATGTTGGATTGGGAAAATCTGCTGACAAGTACTTCTCCAAAGTGCTAAAGAGCTTTAAATGTCAGTTTAAAGACTAAGGTGCACCTGATGCAAGCCATAGTTTCTGCTTGTTATGCCTCTGCAAGTTGGATAATGACTAAGGATCGCAGAAGAATTGATGCCTTTGAGCTGTAGTGTTGGAGAAGAGCTCTGAACAGCCTCTGTGCCTGATTCAAGCCACAGTCTTTCCATTCACCTACTATGCATCTCAGAGCTGGACAAATGAGTAAGGATGACAGAAGAACTGTTGCATTTGAGTTGCGATATTGAAGAAGAGTCCCATGGATTGCTAAAAGAACAGAAATGTGTTCAACAAAGTGGAGCCAGAGATGTTCTTTGGAAGCAAAGTTGATGAGGCTTCCTTTCACTGATTTTGGACATGTTGTCAGGAGAGGGTAGTCCTTGGAAAAGGTGGAGGGCCAAACAGGGAAAGGAAGACCTTCAATGAATTGTATTGGTACAGTGTCTACAGTGTCAAGGATGATAAAGATAGTGCAGGACAGGACAACATTCAGATCTACTGTTCATGGAATCACTATGACTTGACTCTACAGCACTTACCAAAACAGCAACAATACTGGCCTAGAGATAAGAAGCTATGCTACAGTCTCAAAGGCAGTTTATTGACTCTGAAAATCTACTGGAGGATCAGCTGAGTCAGTTCTGTTTCAACAACACGCAACAACAAACAATTCCTGCTTTCTAGAAGGTCTTCTGTACTCTTCCCTCAGTCGGTGTTAGCATGCAGATGGTCCTGCTCACTCAAGTTTTACTAAAACAAATCTAGAAGTAGCATGTACACTCAGTCTCTGATCTTCAGGATTGTGGCTAGAATGGGATCACCCCCCCAAAATAGAAACACTAAGAAGGGGTTAGGATGTAGAGTATTTTCTCATTGTTCAGAGAAAACCATAGTTATAAATATCAGATGGTTGGGCACCAGATAAATATTTCTTCAAATTTAAAGTCCATTTGCTCCTTTCCCTTCCAGGGCACTATTTCCTATGTCCCACAGCAGTCTTGGATCCAGAATGGCACCATAAAGGACAACATCCTTTTTGGATCTGAGTTCAATGAAAAGAAGTATCAGCAAGTTCTAGAGGCTTGTGCCCTTCTCCCAGACTTGGAAATACTGCCTGGAAGAGATCTGGCTGAAATCGGAGAGAAGGTATTTGGGCATCAATGGACTTTGAAGGGATGAAAAAAATATTGAGGAAAAGTAGGGATTATGAAAAAGAAAAGGTGATTAAAATTGGTTGACCCATTTTGATAGTCATATTTGCAGCATGCTTTGTTTATTTATTTTGTGCTGCTGTGACAGATATAGGAAGCTCTGGTGGCCTAGAGATAAGAAGTTGTACTGCTATCCCCCAGAGGTACACAGGTCATACCCACGAGCTGCTCCATGGGAGAAGGTGGGGCAGTCTCCTGTGTATTTCACTCCCTGGGAAAATATGCTGGAGGGTCAGCTATAGGTCTCCAACTTAACAATACTCAACAACAACGTAACAGAAATGCAACAAGTAAATGGATATTGTATAAGTAAACAGATCTTTATTTTCTCATGATTTAGGAGGATTGCACCCTGAATTCAGATCACATGCTCTGGAGAACGTTCTGTCAGCTCTGGGGGATGCTCCTTGTCTTTTCAGCTTCTGGTTCCTGGTTCCTTGGAGACTTCCCTGTATCTTGGCTCCTATCTGATCCCATCTCTCCTCTGCTTACTTACTCAATTTCTTTCATATCTCAGAAGAGATTGATTTACAGTCACAAAAAAGATATATTGTCTAAAACCACTACTATAAAAAATAAACAAAACCACTAAAGAAAGGCTAACAGAGATAAAATCATTCTTAGGTGGTTACCAGGAAGGGGAAAGGAAATAGAGGGGAATAAAAATCCATAAATATATAATAGACATTTATTAAATTGAGTGAATGGAAAGGCATTATACAGTAAAAGGTTAGTCAGACATTGTAATTAACAGCATCAAATAATTGTAGTCAATATTATAGAATAAAATGTGATTAAATGAAAACCAATCTGATTTGTAAATATTCACTCTAAGTACTGAAAGGGGAAAAGAAACTGACTAAAAAGATATCTTGTACTAAGTCTGCCTCATTAACATAACAACAACAGCCACTTCCAAAATGGGATTAAAGCCATGGCATAGAAACTAGGATTTGCAATGCTTATTTTGTTGTTTTCATTAGGTGTCACGGTGTCAACTACAACTCATAGTTACCCAGTGAACAGGAGATCTATGTCCTGTCCTGTCCTGTGACATTCTCATCAACTCTAATGTACTTGATTCTATTATTACAGTCACTGTATCAATCCATCTCATTGAGGGTCTTTCTCTCTTTTGCTAATCCTCTACCTTTCTAAGCTTTGATATCTCTCTCCAAGGACTGGCACCCCCTAAAAACACGCCCAAAGAATGTAAGACAAAATTTCATCATCCTTGCCTCCAAGAAGCATCTTGATTGCACTTTTTCCAAGGCATATTTGTTTGTTGTTTTGACAGTCCCTGGGAAATTCAGTATTCTTCTCCAACACTGCAACTCAAAGGCAACAATTTTGTCATCATTATTCATTTCCCAACTTTCAGCAAGTAATTGAAAAGGCTATAACTGGGTATATCTGTCATCACAGGAGACTAGAGCGAGGGCTACATGGTGGAGGGGACCTGGGGGAGGGTTTGTAAAACAATGAAAGAATCTTTTCTTTTACTTTTCCATAATATTTGGACTCATGTACTTATAACTTGTTAGTCAAATTTGTGTCTTCTAGGTTGCAACACCCCCATGATACATCTTGAAGGATATGTACATGTACAGCCAAGCACAATCAATAAGAGTGCATCTGAATTCCAAAATCAATCTCCATAATAGTCTATGTGTTTCCTACTGCTAAAGGGGCCCTTTAGAGTAGTGAGAGAAGATCTTCACCCTGAAACCCACAGCGTCCCTTTTCAGCAGGAAGTAGCTAAGAGAATACGCTGTCCCCTTTTCCTTATGACTCAGGGTGAAGTCTCTCTCAGGGAGGAGTGATAGGGAATGGCAAAGGATACACTGACAAAGAAGATTAATCAGAACTGGCTTTGACAAGCACTGTGGCATTTGGACAAGAACACCCTGGGAGGAGGGTAGAGAGAATAGTGCAACAATGAATGAGTGGAAGCCCAAAATCTCTGTAAATGTTTATGAAAATTAATAAAATATAATTATAGAAAAAAAAGGAAATTAAAAAAAAAAAGAAAAGGCTATAGATTAAATCAGGTGCACCTTACTCTTTAAACTGATATTGTTGCTCTTGAGAACTTTAGAGAAGTCTTTGAGAGCAGATTTTCCCTATGTGACACATCTTTTGTTTCTTGAGTGCTGGTACCAAGAGTGTTAATTATGGATACAATAAGATTAAATCATTGATAACTTTAGTCTTTTCCTCATTTATCATGATGTTATCTGTTGGTCCACTGCTGAAGACTTTTTATTGAGATGGACAGCGCAGGAGGGGAAGACCCTCTATGAGGTGGATTGGTTCAGTGACTGGGGTAATCGGGTTGGATGTGTCAGAGACGGTGCGATTGACACGGGACAGAGTAGGGTTTATGGATGTTGTACATAGGGATGCTGTGAGTCGCAAGCCACTTAGCACATAACAACAATATATACTGAAGGATTTGATCTTCTACTGCAAATATTTCAAGTCCTTTTCACTTTCAGAGAACAAGGTTGTGTTATCTGCATAACACAGGTTATTGGTGAGTCTTCCACTGATCCGAATGTCATAGTCTCCTTCATCAAGTCCAGCTTCTTGAATGATTTGTACAGCACACAGATTGAATAGGTATTGAGAAAGGATACAGTCCTGATGGACACATTTCTTGATTTTAAACCCTACAGTATTCTCTTGCTCTGTTGAGATAGCAACTTCTTGGTATAGGTATAGATTTCTGGGATTCCAATACTCCTCAAAGTTAGCCATAATTTGTTGTGATCCACCTACTGAAATGCTCTTGCATAATCCATAAAATACAAATAGATAACCTCCCGGTACTTCCTGCGTTTAGCCATGATTCATCTGACATTAGCAGTGATATCCCTGTGACACAATTTCTTCTAAATCCAGCTGAAGTTGATGCATTTTTCTGTCAATGTACTGTTCTAGCCAGTTTTAATCATCAGCAAGATTTTGCTTGGATGTGATAATCATGATATCGTTTGATAATATTCACATTCTTTTGGATCACCTTTTTTGGAAATGGAAACAAATAGGGATCTTTTCCAGTCAGTTGGCCAGGTAACTGTCTTTCAGATTTTTTTTGTACTGCCTGATGAGCACATACAGGACTGTATTAATACTTTGCTTTGTCTTCTTGGCCTGCCCTTTGAAATCTTCTGTTTATCTCTTTTAATGTGGCATTTCCCCCTTTTGTTTTGGCACATTTTGTTATTGTTACTGTGTACCATCAAATCAGAACTGACCCAAAACTGACTCTTTCGTGGGCTTAAAGAAGAGGCTAATTGCATGGGAAGAGATTGCCTGTCTTTATCCTGAGGAGGAGCTGGAGGATTCGAACCACAGCTTTTGGGATTGCAGCGCAGCCATTTGCCACTAGACCACCATATTTTAGGAGGATACAAATAAATTCATAACAAAATTGTGAACAAATCACTTAGAATTTTTAAACTTTGTACCTGTAAGTGAATATAGAAATAATGTATTTAAAACCAAAAGTGATAAATCCAAGGAGAAGAGAGATAAAATTAATTTGACTAACCCAAGATTTATTGCACAGGGAGAAGGACAAAAGGGGGATCAGAGCCTCATTGTACTGACCCTAATCAGTAAATCAGTAATGGTCAAGGGAGAGCTTTAGTAAGTTGGGAATTGTGAGTTATACTTCCAAGTTATTAAATGCTTTTCTTTAAAACAACTTTTTTTTTTAACTTTCTTTATTTTATTTTATTATTTTTGTGTGAGTGTACCGTCAAATCAGATCTGACTGGTACAGGAGGAGATTGTCCTTCCTTCCCCGGCAGAGCATCTGGTGGATTCAAACCGTGCACCTCTGGGATAAAACAACTTTTTAATAACTATTTTGTATTCCATTATTTGGGTATACCATAATTTAGTTTTAAATTCCTGATTGCTACATATCAGGCCATGTTCATCCTCCTACTTTGGTACTAAAAATGAATACAGCAGTCTTTTAGGGACCAGGATCTTGAGATCTTAGAAAACTAGGGAAGATGTGATTCTAGAGTCATTGTCATCATTGCTTTAGCGTACACTTATTGAGCATTTACTGTATGCCAGACACTATTTGAAGTTCTAGAGTTATGGACAAAATAAAGACATTTTGGCCTTGCTCTACATTCTCTTAAAAGTGAACGTTTGTGAGCTCATTGTGCCAGTGACAAATCAGTTGAGTGGTTTTCATACAGCTAAGCTGAGGGCTGCTACATGCATCAAAACTAGGCCACCTTTCCTCTAAGCAGCAGAACAGCAAGTCTTGGGGTTTTTTTAAGTGAAAGTTTGTTGTTGTTTGTTATGTTGTTATGTAGAGTCAGGAGTGACTCATAGCTGACCCTCCAGCGGGTTTTCAGTGGCAGTAATTGACACAGGAGGAGATTGCCCATCTTTCTTCCAGGGAGCAGCTAGTGGATTTGAACAGTATGCCTTTGGGTTGGCAGTGCAGCTTTTTACCACTAGACCACCAAAGCTCCCTCAAGGTGGAGTGTAGAAAAACAAATATAGTACATAAATATGACTGTTGTTATAGTGTACCTTCAAGTCGGAACTGACTCATAGCTGACCCTCCAGTGGATTTGCAGAGGCAATAAATCATATGGGATAGAATATATGATAGAAAACAAATTTAATTATTGAGCAAAAAAATTACCTATTTTAATTAAAGATATTTGTATAAAGGAACTTGTAAGATTAAAAAAACCTTTCGTGCTTTGTTGAGGGAAATCTCTCCCTTACTTCTGTTTTATGACTCTATGAAGGCAAGACCACAAAGTCGTACTTAATGAACATAATTTTCTTCCTCAGGGTATAAATCTCAGCGGGGGTCAGAAGCAGAGAATCAGCTTGGCCAGAGCAACTTATCAGAATTCAGACACCTACATCCTGGATGACCCACTGTCGGCTGTGGATGCTCACGTAGGAAAACATATTTTCAATAAGGTCTTGGGCCCCAACGGCCTGTTGAAAGGCAAGGTGAGAAGCCATTTAACATGAAAAAGACATAGGAGGAAGGGATACACGTCTTTGAGGGCAGCTGCTATTCTGAAGCAACTTTCCATACTTACCTAGTGCGTGAGCACCTCACGATTCACCAGTTAGACTGGTCTCCCAGGAATCTATCCCAGAAAGATGCTCGTCTTCAGGCCATGGCTTGTGCTAGAACTGGCTAAATGAAATCTTAGTATGTGGCTCCAACCCTAAGCATCTTTAATAATAATAATTTATTATTATTAAAACATATGTTGGGAAAGGTTGGCAGTTCAAACCCACCATCCACTCCACAAGAGGTTTGCTTCCTTCAGTATTTATAGACTCAGAAACCTACTGGGACAGTTCTGCTCTGTCCTACAGCGTTGCTGAGTTATGTAGTCGATTGGATGGCAGTGAGTTTTTTTTAAGTACAGGTCTCTCTGGGGCTATGAAGTACAAGACAGAGGTGACTTCAGTGAAATTCCTGTCTCGGTATTCAATGTGGTTCATAAATAGATTAGATTATAAGAGATGTCCAGTCTCCCACACCAGAGGGGAGGCTAAACTAAATATCTAAAGTTTCTTGGTCTACAGCGTCTCTCATGTGTTGAAAGAATCTGATCAATTGTTGTTAATTCAGTTGATCAGCTGGTTACTGAAAAGAAGAGTTGGTTAGTTTTGTCCTTCTAGGTCTCAAGAGACATTCCTAAACCCAAACTTTGGCTTTTTGGAGGAAAATATATGTAGGGAAAACCTTACTGTCTATACAAGAAAATAACTGTAAGCATGCCCTCAAAGACAAAAACTGCATCTTCCACATAGAACTGGGTTCTTAAGATGAATTGCTGGGTAGGAAAGAGGAAGTGAAAAGGTATGTAGTTAGGCTCACATTTCTGAACAATACCTGTAAAATAGGTATCATTGTTTTCCCTTTTTAGAGGAGGCCAGGGGAGATGGTAGACATTGGCAATCAATACAACTTACTATTGTTTTTACAGACTCGACTCTTGGTCACACATAGCATTCATTTTCTTCCCCAAGTGGATGAGATTGTAGTTGTGGGAAATGGCACCATCTTAGAAAAAGGATCTTATAGCACTCTGATGGCCGACAAAGGAGAATTTGCTAAGAATCTCAAAACATACAGCAAGCAATCTGGTCCTGAAGAGGAGGCCACAGGTTTGTAAGGGGCTGGGAATGGGATGGAGTTTGGGGCCTGGGAAGGAGGCAGATGGTCAATTTATATCTACCTCCTAAGCTGTGGTGTGGATTGGATTTGAGATTCAAGCTCAGCTCTTTCCATGCTGAGTCTGTTAAGGAACACAGCACTAAAAACTGACTGGGTCAAAGTAGTCGCTTATCTAACTTAATCTGCTCTCTGACATTCAACCAGAAAGAATGCCTTGCAAGGCGGTCTGTTTAGAAATAGCCTTTCTCCTTGTTCATAAGGGAGCTCTGTGGGCTTACTGTGTAAGGAGTTGCTCTGCCAAAGCAGAGATAAGAGGTTTGAATCCACCAGCTGCTCTACCAGAGAATGATGAGCAATCTTTTCCCATTTGCTTTACAGCCTCTGAAATCCCAGTTATAAGTCAGTTCTGACTTATAATGTCAACAATGTCTTGACCTTGTTCATGGCAGAACGTACACCCTGCTGAGAACTTTGGTTTTCACCTCAAACTGAATCAGCACCTACATTCTAATTCAGTATATCTTGGGTAGAAATGAAAGTTCTTAGTAAGGAGCAAAAGAAAAATGAACCAGTTGAACACCCTGTTTCAAAGTCTGTGCAGGTATTTCCCCAACCTTGGCTATGTGTCTCTGTAGTCAATGAAGGCAGTGAAGAGGAAGATGATGATGGCCTGGTCACTAGTATAGAGGAAGTCCCTGAAGATGCAGTCTCCTTGACCATGAAAAGGGAAAACAGCCTTCGACGCACACTCAGCCGCAGGTTTGTTTTTTTTATTCACCTAGCAACCCTAATCATTTCCATTTCTTCCCCTCCACCATGGGTTTTTCATGAAGAAACAGATACCATGACATTGTCAGTTCTCCTTTCTTTCATCTTATGGTTGAGGAAGTGGTTATCATAATGCCAATTTTCCCCAAATGGTCAATCTTCTCTGAAATGCAGTTTGATGCGAGCCAAGTCCTTGTGACATCTGCTTGCAAGATGACCCTTAAGAAGCATGTACCTGCTCAGGAAAGCCTTTCCTTTGTTCCTTTCTCAGGTCCAGGTCCAACAGTAGACATCTGAAGTCCCTGAGAAGCTCCTTGAAAACTCAGACTACAGGGCCAAAACTGAAGGCGGAGGAAGAAGTCAAAGGACAAAAACTGATTAAGAAGGAATTCCTCGAAACTGGAAAGGTGAACCCCACAATGAAAAGTCTTGGAATCCAAAATATTTCCAATTAGATGAACTCTGACAATGCATATAGCAGAGGAATTGCTCTGAATCCTCTGCAAATCTCCCGAAGCTACTGAAACGCTGAGTGGCTGTGAAGAAAGAAATGCTTCCCGCGAATGCCCGCATTCCACACTTCCAAAGCATTTGATGTGTAGAAATAGCAATCCTGCTTTGAGATGTAATTCTGGGGCTCAGGGAACACTAGTAATTCTCAGAGTATACAATTTAAAATCAAGAAAATACCGATTCCTTTTTAACTGATCCTAGAAGTTCATTAATAAGCTGGAGACTATTCACCTTATACTCTAATTTCTTGATCTGGTACAAAAATGATGACTTCCAGATTTTTCTCCCTGCTGCCCATTTTCCATTTGTGATTATTGACGTAAGCAATTCTTCACCATAAACCTAGTGGAATTATACTAATACTGAGGTGTGGACTTTGCAGGTGAAATTCTCCATCTACATGAAATACCTACGAGCAATTGGATGGTGGTCAATGTTCTTTTTCATCCTTTTAAATATGTTGAATTCTGTGGCTTTTATTGGATCCAACCTCTGGCTCAGTGCTTGGACCAATGATTCTAAAACCTACAACAGCACCAACTATCCAGCCTCTCAGAGGGACATGAGAGTTGGAGTCTACGGAGCTCTGGGAGTAGCACAATGTATGTCTGAGAGCTACAGTAGCCTTTTCTGTAGAATGTGTCCAAATCCTGTACTTTACCTGGATTGGGGCAAACATTTGCCATTGTGTCTTTGACACAAGCCTTCGAGGAGTCTTGTGCATAACAGTAAAACTACTGGTTCTATTTCTAGGTGTGTTTGTGTTCCTGGGAAATTTCCTTTCTATATATGGTACCACACATGCATCAAACATCCTGCACAAGCAACTGCTGAACAATATCCTTCGAGCACCCATGAGGTTTTTTGACACAACACCCACTGGCCGTATCATGAACAGGTTTGCTGGTGTAAGTATCTCCGACGGCCGTGAGGTGGTGTGATGATGTGCTGAAATAGTTTTCTATTTCTAACAGGGAGGTAGTTTTATGTCACACTATGCAGTTCTCTTGTCCACTCAGCAAGTAGATTTTTCTTGTGTACTTCCTGTGACATCCTCAGGGTCCAGCAGAGACAAGGATGAATAGCTCTGGTCTTTTTAAGAATTCAGAGTCTAGTGAGGGAGGCAGCCAAGGAAATAAGATAGCCTAAAAGCCAATCAAATTACTGCATATGAGGACATTCTGGGATTGCAAAGATAGGGCAGAGAAAGGAGATTTGAATTAAATTTTAGAAATTAGCTAAGGATTCATGGGGAGTCAGGTACGCAGTTCAAATCCACCAGCTGCTCTGAGGGAAAGAGATGGGCTATCTCTGTCTGTAGGTATAGGATGGCTCTTCACTCAGGAATGGTGTCAGAGCTTATTTTACTGAAACCTCCACACCAGTACTTTCTGGATATCTGTTATGTACCAGGCTCTGTGAAATGAAGACCTGTGTAAAGTTAACTAGACTGACTTTGTGGTGGGAGAATTTATTTGTAAGGATCTACTAGCTTCCAATGATTAGTAATAGTTGAATCCATTTAACAAAGGGAAATTTTCCCGAGAACTGAGTGGAAGTCATTGCCAAGTCAATTGAAAATGGAAAAGGATGACTGCAATATCTGTTTTGAATGATTTAAAATGGTAACAAACTTATCAAAATGGAATTGATTACTGAAGAGCAATAACTCGCTCATTCACTGCCCCAAGTCGATTATTACTCATAGCCACCCTCCACTGGGTCTCCAAGGTGGCAGATCTTAACAAGAGGAGGACGTTCGTCTTTCTCTCAAGGAGCAGCTGGTGGGTTTGAACCGCCACATACATAAAGACTTAAGGTTACCCACACAACACTCTGCAGATTAGCCTACAAGTGCTCCTGAGTGAGCAGCCAAGTTAGTGCAAATTAATATGATGTAACAGCTGAATGAGGGAGTCAGTGGGAACAGAGAGGACCTGGTGGAGTCTGGAAGATGTCAGCCGTCTTGGGCATTCACTGGCACATCTTCTCTGTGGGTTCTAGGACATTTCCACAGTCGACGAAACCCTTCCTTACACCTTGCGCAGCTGGGTTCTGTGTCTGCTGGGCATCATCAGCACCCTCGTCATGATCTGTGTGGCCACCCCAGTCTTCATCGTCATCATCATTCCTCTCACCATCATTTATTTGTCTGTTCAGGTAGGTTTGGAAATGGCTATGTCTTCTTTCCTTTCTCCTTATAAAAACCCAAGTTTCTAAAACAACTATGAGATATCATTTCACCCCAGTCCAAATAGCAAAATTTAACAGAACAGCAAGCAACAAATGCTGGCGAGGTTGTGGAGAAACTGGAACCCTGATTCACTGTTGGTGGGAGTGTAAAATGGTGCAACCCCTGTGGAAAGCAGTATGGCGCTTTCTCAAAAAGTTGCAAATAGAGATACCATTTGACCCAGCAATTCCACTACTGGGAACATACCCTGAAGAGACCATAGCTAACATCCAAGCAGATATATGCACACCCATGTTTACTGCAGCTTTGTTCACAATAGCAAGGAGTTGGAAACAACCTAAGTGCCCATCAACAAACGAATGGCTAGAGAAGCTGTGGTATATTCGCACAATGGAATACTATGCTGCATTAAAAAACAAGGAACTCATGCAATATTATTCAAAATGGTTGACTCTGGAGAACATTATGCTGAGTGAAATATCCCAGTCACAAAAGGACAAATATTACATGATGCCACTGTTGTAGAATGGGACTGTCCTTGGGGTTGGGGAGAGACTGAGTAAGATGGGTTCAATAATGTATACTGCACTGAAACAGAGGAGGGAGAGAACCGTTTAAAAGAGAGATATAACTGGGTATCTCTGTCATCACAGGAGACTAGAGCGAGGGCTACATGGTGGAGGGGACCTGGGGGAGGGCTTGTAAAACAATGAAAGAATCTTTTCTTTTACTTTTCCATAATTTTTGGACTCATGTACTTATAACTTGTTAGTCAAATTTGTGTCTTCTAGGTTGCAACACCCCCATGATACATCTTCAAGGATATGAACATGTACGGCCAAGCACAATCAATAAGAGTGCATCTAAATTCCAAAATCAATCTCCATAATAGTCTATGTGTTTCCTACTGCCAAAGGGGCCCTTTAGAGTAGTGAGAGAAGATCTTCACCCTGAAACCCACAGCGTCCCTTTTCAGCAGGAAGTAGCTAAGAGAATACGCCATCCCCTTTTCCTTATGACTCAGGGTGAAGTCTCTCTCAGGGAGGAGTGATAGGGAATGGCAAAGGACACACTGACAAAGAAGATTAATCAGAACTGGCTTTGACAAGCACTGTGGCATTTGGACAAGAACAAACTGGGAGGAGGGTAGAGAGAATAGTGCAACAATGAATGAGTGGAAGCCCAAAATCTCTGTAAATGTTTATGAAAATTAATAAAATATAATTATAGAAAAAAAAATAGGAAAAAAAACCCCCAAAAAAACCCCCAAGTTTCTTCCTTAGAATCTTCTCTTTTACTTATCACAAGCTCCTCTCCAGTATCTTTACTGTTTAGTTATTGCAGTATACCACACAGCCTGCAGCCGATGATTGAAGCTGCCGTGTCAATGCCGATTAGTAGACAGTTCATAGAACATGTTGTTGTCACTGCTGCCCTCTGGCAGGTGGAAATCTTACAGGTGGAACCCATTTCTATTTGAGCCTGAGACTACTTTGAAGTCAGTCCTGGAAAAAGTCTTGAAGCTCCATGAGAGAGGCTCAATGGTTGGGCCATTAATTGCTTCAAGCAGAGCTATGGTGATGTCTTTCACTGGATTGGAAATAGATGGTCCTGCTTAGAGATGTCTCTCCTCAGGATTAGATCACTTTTTACTTCAGAGAAGTTCTAATCTCACTAGGATGTCTGTAGATGCATTAGGCATAATCCCAGTGTGTTCTTGAAGACATAAGTAGTTCACAGAAGAGCTACATTAAATACAAGAGACCCCATAACCGTAATAAAAATGGTGAGGGGAACAAAGGAAGCTATAGACAATTTTTTAAAAATTATAATTAATTTCAATGAAAGTTTACAGAGACTTTGGGTTTCCATTCATTCATTCATTCATTCATTCATTCATTCATTGTTGCACTTTTCCCCCCTCCCAACCCTCTCCTTTAGTTCACTACCCTCTTGGAAAAGTAAAGGAAAAAATTCTTTCAATGTTTTACAATCCCTCCCCCCAGGTCCACTCCACTATGCAGCCTTCGCTCTGGACTCTTGTCATGACAAAAATACCTAATCACATATCCCTTTTAAACAGTTTTATAGAGAGAATTCTTGACCACAAGTTGCCTTTGTAATTTGTTGTTTACTAGAAGAAAACACTTCCAAAGACCCTTCAGTGTAGAGACATTCTGTGGCAAGGTGACATCTCCTAGTATTTGTGTTGAGCCCATTATGTACACTGAAAGTACTGGCTCTTTTAATATTATTCACAAACCAAGAAAGTTTAATATTTGAAGAAACTTCTAGGTATCACATTTTGCATTCTAAGTCTCAAATGTCCAGCTCTAGTTTTACTATATCCCATAAAATCTAGTTGCAGTGCTGACGCGTTCTGTGGTGCCTCACCTTACTTCTCGCTTCAGAGATTCTACCTGCATCCTCTAGTGCATCCAGTTCCAGTTCTTAGGTTCTCAGTGTTCCACAACACCCTACCACAATCAGCCTTACCTTCACACAACATTGAGTAACAATTTTGATTACTTAACTGACGATTCTTCTGTTTTTACCTCAACCTCTGATCATTTCCTTCTTATTCTCCATTTCCATACTTCTCTGGTCCCAGATGCTTCTGGAGAATCCTTTTAGAGACCATTTCTTCTACCAGTACAGAAACTATTATTTGAAGATCTTATTTAGATGCTTGAGGAGAAGGTAGTTTATGACAATAAAGCTCTTCCCCTGGTTTGGCAATCTATAATCTCCTCAATTTTGTCCTCATCTGTTTCCACCAAGTCCAGGTGTCACCGTAATTCTCCTCCTTTGGGCCTTCTCTCCCCTATTCTTCTCAACATGAGTGAGACTGGGGGCTTTTGTCCTGTTCAGGCATAGGCTGTGTCATCAAGATGAAAAACATTGCGTCATGGCCAAGAAGAGCTAGCACTATGACCTCAACCTTATACAGCATGTGTGATCAACTTACTCTTTTCTTTTCTTTTTTTGTGTGTGGCTAGGTATTTTATGTGGCTACTTCTCGCCAGCTGAGACGCCTGGACTCTGTCTCCAGGTCCCCAGTCTACTCTCACTTCAGTGAAACTGTGTCAGGTCTGGCTGTTATTCGAGCCTTAGGGCACCAGCAGCGATTTCTAAAACTTAATCAGGTGGGAATTGATAATAACCAGAAATGTGTCTTTTCCTGGATCATCTCTAACAGGTGAGACTATTCCTGAGTTTCTACTCAAATGTGTGCTTTGGTTTTCTGTATGTTTGCCATTAGCTATAGGATGGCAGGTGTAGGCAGAATGTGTAAACACTAGCCATGCACTCCTCTCATTTTATTTAAGCAGAAGGAGACGCAAATTCCTATGCCAACCCTATTTCCTACCAGCTGAGCAAATTGACTTGCTGTTTCTAAGGGAAACCTTTTCTTTGCATTTACAATTGGTAGGATGGAAACCCTTTTGCAGTGTTATTGTGGAAGTTAAATGAGGTTTGTGAACATTTTGTAATGCAGGTGCTATGCTAGTACCGGTGGACTGAAGGCTCTCTGCTTTTTGCCCCTGAAAATAGATGTATTAAATTCTCCGTGGAAATACTGTTCTGTTTAGGATGTAAAAGAAGTATAGGTTGAAGAGAGAGGAGTTGGACATATTTAGGTAAACCAAACAGTGATGATAGAAAGTTTCCATCCTGGGAGATGAACGCATGAACAACAAGATAAGCCTCAGTAGACCTTGGTAAGCAGCAGTATATCCTCGAGGGAGGGATACCTCTTTAAGGAACATTAAAACCCTTGAGTAGTTGGCAATGTATACGGTTAAGGGCAGGTCAACAATGCTCAGTATTATTTGAATATGAAGAACTCAAGAGTTGAACTCTAAAGATACTTTCTTTTTAAAGACTTTTCAAGGATAAAATGGGCACTCAGTTGGTCCCATTTTACCTCATGGGAAATATTTAGAATATTTATATGTACATTTATTATAATTATTATACAAATATGTAAGTATATTTTCTATGGGAAAGTTCCTTTTTATAATCCATTTCCATCTAGATATACTCTTAAATTCTCTACATATTTTAAATGCATCTATCAGTGTTCAATACACACTTAACTTCCCTCCCCCTCTAGCTTATTTCCTCTTTAATAATGAAATACATTAAACTTCCTTTGGTGCTCATTTTTTAACCTTACATATGGATTTACTATTCCATTGCTCCTGATCAAAAGACTCACTTAGAGCAATAAAATATGTGCCTTCCATCCTCAAATTCCTAGGAAATTGCAGGCAGCCCCGAGTGAACAAAAGAATCTTGAAAAATAAAGGCAAAGTAGGAATATTCAAACATCTCCATTTAAAAAAAAAAGATAAGGCCATAGTAATCAAAGCAACTCTTAGGAAAGACCCAGTTAAAAGACAGGGTGATAGTGGGCATACATCAATGGTGATTAATTTTATAAGACACAATATATGGGAATGATCGTTTGAAACAAACTGTGAATAGGAAACACCAAAAATTTTTTAAAATAGAGAAAAAAACCAAACAACTCAAGGCCTTTGAGAAGGTTCTGTGAATGTCCACACTGCTGGCTAAGGGAAGATCAGTGACGCCCCTCTCTCTCTCGCTCTCTTTCCCACAGGTGGCTGGCATTTCGCCTGGAATTGGTTGGAAACCTAATTGTCTTCTTCTCATCTTTGCTGATGGTTATTTACAAATCTACTCTAAGCGGGGACATTGTGGGCTTTGTTTTGTCCAATGCACTTAATGTGAGTCTAATGTGCTTATGGGAGTTCTTCTGTATTTATTGTCAAATTGAATCCGGAGTATGCAACAGAGTCCATACTCTCGATTCATTTTCTAGATCTAGAGGAAGTGGGGACACTGTAGTTCAGATCCTGGCTCCATCTCTTATTAATTTTGAACTTGTGGACACGTTCCTTAGCCTTTCTAAAAAAAATGTATCAGCAGCATCGGGGAGATGGGCATATGTTTTCTGTTCTGAGGATTTAAAACCATTTCAAAAGGTTCTGTTAAATACTTCCTTGCCTCTTTGGCTTATGATTGTCAAACAACTCAAAGCAAATTCAGACTGCCCTCAAGTCAGTTCCAGCTCACGGGGTCCCATCAGCAGCTTTCTGAGGTTATACAGTGCAGTGGGATGCGATTGCCCAGCGTTCTCCTTTGAGCTGCTGGTGGATTCAAACTGAAGGAGATGCAGAGCCTTGGGTTAGCACCACAGCTGGTGAACTCGACCACCAGAGATCCTCTTGTCAAAACATAAATAGATTACTTCTCCAGAATGCAGCAGTGACCAAGAAGTCTTGAAAAAAATGACTTCCTTGTTTGTTTTCCTTAGAGAAAAGAATAATTGGAGCTAATTTTAATTTTTAAAAAAAATAATATCTGATGAAGTTCTTTAAATTTTTTAAAAAAATTTTTTTTTATTTTAGTGTGTGTGTGTGTGTGTGTGTGTGTGTGTGTGTACTGTCAGATCAGATCTGACTGGTACAGGAGGAGATTGTTTCTCCTTCTCCAGCAGAGCATCTGGTGGATTTGAACCGTGTACCTCTGGGATTGCAGTACACCTTCTTGCCACTAGGCCACCAGAGCTCGCTTGATGAAGTTCTTGTAAGGCGCCTCGCTGCAGCACCCCAGGATGACAAGGGGAAATGTTAGACATTATATTATTATTTCTTAGCATCTAAGACCGTGAGCAATATCATAATCAATTTTCAGTGTCCAATGAAGGAATAATCTTGGGTCATCTGAACATTTTTCATGGCATCCTTTAGAATGAATATAGTTTATAGAACTGCAACTGGGGTTTATATGGTCCAATCTTATTCAACACCATCTTCAGAAAAGTTAATAAGGTAATCATTCCAGGACACTCAAAGGGACTCAGTCATCCACCAGAGGCACTAGCTTCCTTCTGCTACTGTTACGGCAGACATGCAAGATTCTAAACACTCAGCCTATGCTGGAGATCCACAAAGTTCTTTATTAAGCACGTGGGTGAAAACATCAGCTATTACTTAAATCATTCTAACTCCGAGGAAAAGCAAAGATGGGGTTTATAAACAGAGATTGGGCAGGGGAATTACACAGAGTTTATTGCGGTTGGCAGTTGAGATGTCTTCATATTCAGGAGTTGTTATTGTTTCTGACTTCTCATGGGTGGTCCAGGCCCTCAGCCAGGTGCAGAGGAAGTGGTAACCAAGCTGGGTCTGCTTGTACTAGAACATAAGGCTTAGTAAAACATGTTATTGCCAAAGTTATTGAGGCACACATTTCTTTAAATGGCTGTCAGAACAAAATGACTTCTCTAAGGCTTAATGTATAAACTGCTTCTACACTACTGTGTCCTCACCACCACCTTATTTCTAGGATGACAAGCCTAGGATAGAGGATACTGTAAGTCAAGATTGAACCAAAACAGTAACATTCTAATATCAACAACTACATGTGCATCTAACTGTATAGAGTAGTTCTTCTTAGTCTTCACAGTCTATCCTCTGAATTCTATGTATTTTTTTTCTTCTGATGAGCAACAAAATTCTGTGCATATGCACGAAGTGCTCAGTGAGTCCTTCCTGAAAGGAGCTTGTATCCTAATGATACACAGATTGTCTGGTGTCTAGACTGGCCCAGATCGTGACAATCTACTTACCTAGTGGTTTAGAAATATGTTTGCAATAGCAGGAAGACTTTCTGGAGCTAATTGTGGTTGGGTACTATCTTGTCCACACTGACTCATAACAATCCTATGTAAAACAGAGCAAAATTCTGTCTAGTCCTTTGCCATTCTTATAGGCTCAGCTATATGTAAGTCCATGGTTGCTGTCACTATACCAGTCCATCTCATTGAATATCTTCCTCTCCTTCGCTGACCTGCTTTTCCAAGGATGATGTGGGTTTTTTTGTTTGTTTGTTTCTTTGTTTCTTTGTTTCTGATGAGGCTAAAATAAGTCAAGGTTTCAGGTGGATATGCTCACTTTGAGGGCTGGGACGGCTAATCAGTCAAACTAATGTCAGGTGAAAACAGAGAGAGGAGGTGGCCTTTGTAAGATCCTATGTCTGCTTCTATGTTCTTCCCAACTTGGAGAATGCAACCCTCTACTAGCTCCACAAACGCTAAGTTTAGAGGGAGGAGATCTGAGTTTTTGTCCCATTTCACTAATTCCTAACCTCTCAGCCCTAGCTTTGGTTCCAGACCTTTCTAAGCTCACATAGTGCTTCATATGAGCCCCACACAACTGAGCACTGATTAATCTACAGCCATTTGGTGCACTCGTCTTAAATCCTTTCCCAAGGAGACAAGAATTGTTTAACGTTTCCCCTTAATATCTCATAGAGCCCAACCTTGTGCTAGGTGCAAAGCAGGAACTAGATTGACCTGTGATATTTGACTAGTTGGGTTGGTGTCTGAGCCCAAGGTAAACGAACATCTTCTGATTTATTTGTTTGTTTGTTCATTTGCAGATCACACAAACTCTGAATTGGTTAGTGAGGATGACATCAGAGATGGAAACCAACATTGTGGCTGTTGAGAGAATAAATGAGTACATAAAAGTAGAAAATGAGGTGAGGAAGAATTTAGGAGAACTCAATGAGAAGACCCCTCCCACACCCTAATAAAAGATGCAATTCTTTCAATAGAGTATCTTCACTTTGTCCAGAGATTTCATATCTAGTTATAAAGACTTCCCCAGAGTTTCCTTTGCTCCAAACTCAAAGGACAAAAAGTTCATTAAATTAGGAAATGGGTTGGAAGAAGTCAGGTCTTGAAAGTTAAAATTGTTGCTTCATTCTGGAGCAAGCTCATGTGATAAGAACTCTTGAAATTGAATATAGTAGAAGCCTTCTAGAAAGCACATATGGTCTTCAGTCAGTATAGAAGTTCCTAGGACTGCCCTTATCCTGTGCTGTGACATGAGTTCTAGGGGGACTGCTTGGCAGAGTTGTCTATTCCTCTTTTCTCCTTGCCAGGCACCCTGGGTGACAGATAAGCGACCTCCAGCAGGATGGCCCAGCAAAGGAGAGATCCAGTTTCACAACTATGAAGTGCGCTATCGGCCTGAGCTGGACCTAGTTCTGAAAGGAATCACTTGTGACATCAAGAGCATGGAGAAGGTAGGTGGAGTTGCACCCAGGTGGAAGTCGTTGTGAAGGAGATCCAAGGACATGGACACAGAGGTGATAACCAGAAGGACTCTGGCCTTGATCAGCATGTGAGAGTCAGAGCACAGGACCGTGGCCAGGAGCAGGATATGAACAAGGGACAAGAGAGACTTACTGTATGTAGCTGTAATGGACTTCCTGCTCTGCCCATCCCTCCTTCTGCACTGTCAACAGAACTTGTGTCCTGTAAGGACCATGGTATGTGAGAGGAAGTCAAGGAGGAAACCAGGAGCTCCAGGCTTCAGAGAAGGATTTGCGGGAAACAGCTGTGTGTGGGGTTGTCCGTTGGAGAATGGCCTGGTTCCTCTCCTGGGCTGTGAAGTCCTACACCTTCCTGTGACACTCTTATTCTCTGACCACCTAAGGTCTGATATAGACCAAAGAGTCCAGGGAGGGATGTTGAAATGCTGATCAAATTCTGGCTCTCAGCTAACTGCAAATCTGATTTCCTTTTTCTCCTCATGCCTAAACAAGTGGGTTTTTTAAAAAAATTCATAATTTCCAGTAATAATTAGAACAACAGCTGCTAAGATGTCTGTTTCCAACACTCACTGAGTTCTCAGCAAACAACTAAGAGTGAAGGGTGGGAGGACCATTTTTTGCACCCTGACATTTAAGCTCTTTTTTTCCTCCACCAAAACTGAAGTTTGTTTTCCATCTTCAGGATGAAGTAGCCATAGATCCTCAGTTGAATCTAAGATTGAACCTTCCTTATGCCAAATTGTTTTACAGAAGAACGTGGCTGGCTGGTCCAGGCAGAATGCCTCTGACCAGGCTGGTGGATCAATGGCTCCCAGACTTTGGGATTTCTTAGATTTCTAGAATTTTTAAATGTGAGGTGAGGGACCAGAACAACAGGGGGCTACCAAATCTTAACCTACTGAAGACTACAGAAGCAAAAGATGCCACCTGCTGTCAGTACGAAGGCTGCTTCGTACCCCAAAAGTAGAAAATGTATACTCAGAAACAAAACAACATAATTATATAGAATTTGGAGGTTTTTTCCAAGTTTAAACAACTAGAATTTTAATTTTTTTAATATCACATTCCATGGCAGTACTTTCTAGAAAACGGCATAAATCTATTTTAGAAATCCAGATTTGCTCAGCATAGATTGAGTGGCTAAGGAGAAAAGAAACAACCCTAACACCTTTTCTACTGAGTGTTTTTAATCAGGAAGGAGCTTTGGATTTTGTTAGAATTTGTTTTTAAAAGGTGCACTAGCCAATCACTGTCTCTTATTATCTGTGACTCTGAATGCCCCCAACCTAAATGCCTTTTCCTCCCATTCAAAATTGTGTTGAATTACTAAACAAACTGTATTTGCAGATTGGCGTGGTGGGCAGGACAGGAGCTGGGAAATCATCGCTTACAAACTGCCTGTTCAGGATCCTGGAGGCTGCAGGAGGCCAGATCACCATCGATGGGTTGGATATAGCTTCCATTGGGCTCCACGACCTCCGAGAGAAACTGACCATCATCCCCCAGGTGAACTCTGAACCTTATTTCAGGCACCTGCAGTGGGTGTTCTGCGGAATACATTGGCGTTTTTTTCTTGGTGTAGGCTCAATTCCCACTATCATTTTAAAAAAATCTTTTTAATTTATTACTAATTTCAATGAAAATTTACAGAGACTTTGGATTTCCATTCATTCATTGTTGCACTTTTCTCCCCTCTCAACCCTCACCCCTACCCAATGTCGTTTTTGATGTTCACTGAAAGATACTGAAGCTAAGACGCCTCTTTTCTATGACTTTAAAAAAAGGCTTTGCATGCTTGGTAATGTGCTTTTGTGACTGCCACTGTCTAACCAGTAGGTGGCAGTAACACAGCAGAAGTGAAATAGATGCTTATTTAGCATTTCTATACTCCTCTACTGTTTGCAAGACCTTTGCAATCAGCATTAGCAGTTTTGCTGCTGAAGCTTGAAGCCATTAAGTTTTATACTACCCATTGATGTTCCTAAAAGATAGCCAGGAAGCTCTGGTGGCCTATTCCACTGCTAATCCAAAGACAGTGCCTCTCTGGCATTCAAATTCACCAGTGGCTCGTAGGGAGAAAGATGGGCAGTGTCTCCCTTGTTGAAAACTCAGTGCAGAGTAGGCCCTAAGTTGCTTCTGACTTGAAGGTATTGAGTTTGAGTATCTGGGGAAAGATATCGATTGCTATAGAGCCAGTTCAGGGTCAGTAACCTAGTAGGAGGGAGCGCTGGTGGCCTAGTGGCAAGAAGCGGTGCTGCAATCCCAAAGGCACGCAGTTCGAGGCCACCAGCTGCTCTGTGGTAGAAGGATGGGCCATCACCTCCCGTATGATTCACAGCCTCTGAAAAGCCACCAGATGGTCAGCTGTGACCAGGTCCGAATCTATTGTACACAGCAAGCAAGCAGCCTAGTAGGATCATAAAGCTATAATCTTCACAACAGCACACAGCCCATCTTTCACCCACAGAGCACCTGGGGGTTTGAACTACCAACATTCTGATTAGCAGCTGAGCACTGACCCACGATGCCATGAAGAATCCTCAGCTAAAACCAGCCAAACTACCCACCTGCCTCGAGTGAATCCCACTTCTCAGCAACCTCCTTGAAGCTTCCAAGGTTATAAATCTTTGTGGAAGAAGATTGCCCATTTCTCCCTCACAGAGCAACTGGTGAATTTGAACCACTAGCCTTTTGGAGAACAGCTTAATACGTTGCCCACTCTGTCACCAGGGCTCTTTCAGCTAAACTATAAGGGAGGAAATTTGCTACAGGTTTCTATCCCCAAATGGAATGCTTAGGGGGTGCGTTAGCTGGAAGAGCTTCTCTTGGTTTCTTCTGTGGGCTCTTAAGAAACAGGATCTCTGATGGAGGCTTCTCAGCTCGCACCATCCCCAGGCAGCTTTCCTTCTCAGGCCTGTCCCAGCGTTACTTCACTATCTCAGTCTGGTCCTGGCTAGATTTCTCCTGGTTCTAAGCAACCTAGGGCACTCTGGTGGCCTAATGTTAAAGAGCTGTGCTGTCAACACAAAAGCATATGGTTCCAGTTCCCTAAATGCTCCATGAAAGGATGGGCTGTCTTGTCTTATGCGATTTACAGCCTCTGAAGACCTGCTGGAGGGTCAGCTATGAACTGGCTCTGACTCGATGGCGCACAGCGACAACTTGAGCAAACACTCGTTCCTCTTCTGACGCCAGCCTTGGTAACCCCCTTCTCCCTTCACTTGCAGGACCCCGTCCTCTTCTCCGGAACCTTGAGGATGAATCTGGACCCTTTCAACAGCTACTCAGATGAGGAGATTTGGAAGGCCCTGGAGCTGGCTCACCTGAAGTCCTTTGTGTCCGGTCTGCAGCTTGGGTTGTCCCATGAAGTGACAGAGGCTGGTGACAATCTGAGGTAATGTTTCATGACCTATGTCCCCTGCAGGCAGTGAGGGGATATCAGGGGAGCACTCTTCGTATTTTTTGTGCCAGGAGATACCTGTTGTTATTGTTGTTATATGTCATCAAGTCACCTGTGACTCATAATAACCCTATGTACAACAGCCCTAAAACCTGCTCCATCCCTTGCCAATCTTATTGTCTCTGACACCTACCCCCATTACCCCGGGCACTGGATCAATCCATCTCATCCAGGGTCTTCCTCTCTTGCACTGTCCCTCCATCCTCCCAAGCATGATGTCCCTCTCCAAGGACTGGTCCCTCCTTGCAACATGTCCAAAGTATGTCAGACGAATCTTCAGAATCCTTGCCTCCAAGGAGCAGCCTGGTCTGACCCTCTCTAGGATGAATTAAAACTATACAAGTCTATTCCCTAAAGTGTAGAATGAAACCACTACAGGCATAAAATGCGACAATAGGTATGAAAGTGTGTGATTCTCAAAGCCCTTTCTTTTCATACGTTCTTTATATGTTTACAATCAGCACCTTGTGACAATTTTGTCCCATGAGTTTACAGACCACATTGTTGTGGAGAATCCTAGAAATCAGGGGATCTAGACTTGGCTGGGCTCAGAATCTGGATTAAAATGATCTGAATGCTGAGTCCAACCCCCAGAGAGCCTGAGTCGATTGGTTGAGATGACAGGCTGGGGAATTTGAAAAGATCCCCAGGGGGGTTTATGGGCATCACGTTTGAGAACCACTGACCTGGAGGGTGTTGTTTCTGCAGTCTTTGGGGAGTGTTCAAACATGTTCATTAAGCACAGGGACTCTCCCTGAGTCATGGCTCTTTTTCCCTTTTGAAGACGTGTTTTTACACATCACACTCCTGGTGTTCACTGTATGCTTACATGTTGATTACAAAGTTATCCTGGCATTTTCCCTACATCAGTGTGGTTTTTACCCAGGTCTTTGACCAAAACCTTGGATGGCCTTCCTCCAGCTCTAGGTGTCACTCACAATGGTGGGCAGGGCACAGACCATTAGTAATTGGGGCTCAGGAAGAAAGGTAGAGCCGTAGCTCAATGAGTGGGGCAGCACTGCTGGCTTCACCTGGGAGCATGGCGCTCAGGCCCAGGCCTCATAATCAGAGTCTGCCCTGTTCCAAGAGATCTTGGAGATTCATGTACACATTGCCATGTAAGAAGCATTGTCTGGAGGGTTCTTTATAGTAGGCTGCACTCTAGGGAGCTTGAAAAGTCCCCAGTGCTCCATTGCACCCCAGGCCAATGGTCTCAGGGACCCAGATGAAGGTGTATGCTGTCCTCATTTGTGTTTTCTCTCAGCAACTAGGAACTAGTGGGTCTCAGGATCTTTGGGCTTGTGAAGAAGCCATGCAAACATTCAGTTAATCAGTCTGTACTGAACACCTACTGTGTGTCTGCCAGGCAAACGAGACAGGTGACAATTACAGTACCATGGAAGAGGCAGGCCTGGGGCAGGTAAGTTCAGGGATGCCAGTTGAGTGCCAGCTCGGGGTCCAGCTTCTTCGACACTTCTGATTTGTAAGGAAAAAGATCACCTCATACATCCCAGGTCTGTGCTGCTGGGGTAGATACCATTTGGGTGGCCCTGACAACAGGAGGAAACATTGACCTTGGTCTGTGCAGGGAGATCCTTATATGGTATTTCTGGTGCCTCCGTTTCAGATCTGGGGTTCAGAGTTGGTTTGAGGGGCTGAAACTTAGATGGGTGATAAGTCATACACCATCTGGAGAGAGTCAGCAGCTAAAAAGCCAAGCCGGTGTCTTGACACCAGCCACTGCCACAAAGTCCAGGGATCAAGTTCAGAGTCAGGGAAAGCTAAGTCAGTGGCTTTGCAGGATCTTGCTTCCTCATTACAGAGCAAAACTGGAAGTTCATACTGGGTGACTTCTCCTCTCCTGCAGAATTTTCCTTCCTGGGAATTACAGAGCCTCAGTCTAGCCACCCCCTGTTTAATTTAATGCCCTCTAATGGCCTCAGCAGGAAAGAACAATTAGTAAATTCTTGAGTTTTTCCTTCACATCATTTCCCAGAGCTTCTTTATGGAAGTAAGAGGTCCGGCCTTCATTAGGGGTTTTTAGCAAATTGAAGTCATTTGCATTTTACAAGCATATTCGAATTTCACATACATTGCATCTCACACTGAGACATCGAGTTCATTAGATAGCTTCATCTCTGATTGAGGCAGAGGCCTTAAACAAATAATTAGCCTTGAGACTAGAATTGCACATTAAAATAATGAATGCATTTGCAGAGGCCACTGAGAAATGCCACTAGGGCATTCTGGCACCACATCCTCTGCATTAATGTGTTTGGGTCAGATAATACTAACGTGAACGAGGTGCCATGAAAACTGTTGTGCTGTGTCTGAAGCTGATGTCCTAGATTGTCATTGTGATCATATGCAAAGCTCTCTTCCAAGGCCAGGGTTCCAAACTTCTTTGAATGTGAAAATCTCTTTGAGTGCTTATTTAAGATTCCCACACTTAGACCCTTTCCCTCTTTGATAGTGAGACCCAGTAATCTGAATATCTTATTAAGTGCCTCCAGTGAGTCTTCTAATTGGAAAAGTTTGGAAAGCGCTGCCCATGACAACAATAAAATGGAAGCAGCTAAGGCATTCTGGGGGATATTTAGGCAGAGGGGTTTGGAACATGGAAACAGACCCTGTCCACACTCAGTCCATAGGGCCTAATGCTTGATTTTCGCTCTGGGCTGTAGCATCGGGCAGCGGCAGCTCCTGTGCCTGGGCCGGGCCCTGCTTCGGAAATCCAAGATCCTGATCATGGACGAAGCTACCGCGGCGGTGGATCTGGAGACCGACCATCTCATTCAGGCGACCATCCGGTCCGAGTTCTCCCACTGCACGGTCATCACCATTGCCCACAGGCTGCACACCATCATGGACAGTGACAAGTGAGTGAAGGCTGGGCCGGGGCTCCGCAGACATGGTGTAACCCGGTCCGTGGTAACAGCGGTCAGCCACGAGCACCTCCCGGGGGGCGTGTTGTTGTTGTGACTCTGTGCACTGTTGCTACCTGGTCCTGCGCTATCTCCACAGTCACTAGCTTCAGTCACTGTCATTTCCCAGAAGAAACTGAGGTCTAGAGATGTCAAGTAATTTGTCTGAAATGTTATCAGAAGGTAATGATAGAAAGCTAATAAGGTTAAGGGAACTACTTTCAAGGTGAAATAGGAAACTGTGTGTGTTTAGTAACTGAGTAGAGTCTGTAGGTGGGGTCAGCAATTCACACACTCATGTGCTGGCTACACACCACCCCCTGGGAAGAGAAGTCTGGTGTTCTGCGTTAGAAAACTCAGGCATTAAGAACCCTGTGGAGCAAGGTCATATGCGAGGACACTGGGAGTCAGACGCAGCTTGATAGGAGCTGGCTTATTGTGAATGGGAAGGAGGAAGCGAAGCCACGAGTAGCCAGTGCTGGCCATATACACACAACCTTCCCAATTCTCCTGAGCCTTGGCTGCTGCTCCCATAGAAGGGCTACAAGTCTTGTATTTCTTCACTCTGATGTGTTGCAAGTCAAAATGAGGTGCTTCACTCATCTTAGGATCCCATTTAAAGAGGATGTTGTTGTGCACCACTGAGTCAGAATTGACTCTAAGCCAACCCTCCAGCAGGTGTCAGAGGCTGTAAACTGCAAAGAAGATTGCCCATCTTTCTCTCTTGGGAGCAGCTGGTAGATTTGAACCACGTGTCTTTGGGTTGGCAGTGCAGCTCTTTACCACTAAGCCATCAGAGCTCCTTTTTTAGAGAAGATTGTTGTTGTGTACTGTCAGGTTAGAACTGACCCACAGCTGAATTCCCAGTGGATTTTCAGAAGCAGTAAATTATGCAGGAGATGGCCCATTTTTCTCCCAAGGAGCAGCTGGTGGATTTGAACCACGTACCTTTGCATTGGCAGCACAGTTCCTTACCACTAAGCCACCTTCTCTTGTATGATTTACAAGCGGATCAGCCATGGGTCAGTTTCGACTCAATGGCACACAACAAGAAGCCACCAGGGCCCCCTTTGGAGAGGACAGGCCCCCTTTTTTCAGCTGGGAGTTGGGGTGGAGGGGAATATGGAACCTTCCTGGTAATTCTTAGAAATGCTGAGATTTGAGATGCTATTTTCTAAGTGTTTTCTTTCTTCTTTATTTCAGGGTAATGGTCCTAGACAATGGGAAGATTATAGAGTTTGGCAGCCCTGAAGAACTGTTGAAAAACTCTGGCCCTTTTTATTTTATGGCCAAAGAATCTGGCATTACAAATTCAAACAGCACAGCATTCTAAGAGCAAGTCTCAAGAGTTTGAGATGGACTTTAAGGATCATTCTTTACTTTTTGTGAAATATAACAATGTGTATAAAATGTTTATGTTCAAGAAAGTTAATACACACCCATGTACCCACCTCTGAGGTTAGGAAAATGAGTATTGCTCATTATGAAATGAGTCCTTTAGAAACGTTCCTTCTTGTGTCTACCTCCTTGCTACCCAACCATCCCAGAAAGAAACTTTATCTCAAATTCTGAGACTTATCCCTTTGTATTTTGTTTAAATTTATTGTCTTGGTATGTGTCCTTTAACAATGTATATTTGAAAAGATGTATGTAAATGTATTCATGCTGCATGTATTCTTGTATGACTTGATTATTTTGTTCACTCTCATGTTTGTGATTCATTCATGCCAATGTACATAGCCAGGGTTCATTCATTTTTAGCGCTGTATTTTCACACAAGGCATTGTAGGAATAGACCACAACTAAACCATCTTAATGTTGGTACCATTAGAGATCTTTCTAGTTGTGTTTTTATTTTTATTCTTCTTCTATTAGGAACAATGTTGTTATGCACCATTGACTCACCTGTGACTCATAGCGACCCTATGTACATACATCAGCTCTCAAGTGGCCCTATCCTGCGTCAATCTCATCATCTCCAATAGCCCTAATCCCATTGCTCCAGTCACTGAGTCAAACCATCTCATCCTGGGTCTTCCTCTCCTGCACTATTCATCCACACTTCTAAGCATGATATCCCTCTCCAAGGACTGATCTCTCCTGGCCACACACTCAAATATGTGAGACAGCTTCAAAATCCTTGCCTCCAAGGAGCGGCCTGGTTTCACCCTTTCCAGGATGGACCTGTTCGTTCTGGAAGTCCATGATGTGTACAACACTTCTCCAGCACAACTCAAAAACATCGATCCTCCTATCTTCCTTAGTCACTGTCCAGCACTCTGATGCTATAAATACTCTGGTTTGGATCTCTTGGGGTACAGAGTACAATCCAGGAATGGGGGACTGCATGTTTTTACTTGCACCTTACAAGCCAACCCAACTACCGTCACTGAGTCCATTCCAACTCGCGATGACCCCACAGGACAGGGCAGAAGTGCTCTCCTGGTCTCTAAGGCTAGAAATCTTCACAGAACCACACTGCCACATTTGCCTCCCAGACAGTGGCCAGTGGACACAATCAGTTGGCAAACAAGCACTTTAAGCACTGTGCCACCAGGGATCCTTCACGCACCTAGTAGGTAATGCAGAACTGAGAATGTCAATTTAAAAGACTTTTACCAACCTGATGAGCATGAGTTGACAGCTCATAGAGGTTTTAATTTGCATTTTCCCTCATAAATATCAACCTATGTTTGGAGCCACTGGAATGTTTTCTATTATGTCATTTTAAAAATAGTTTGTATGTGATGATGTCAGTACCTAAATTCTTTGCTATACGCTGTTTCTACTGATTCTAATTTGCTTGCATGCCTTGTAGTTTTTCTCTGTAAGTTGCTCACTCTCTTTAGACCTGTATCTGTGGGCATTCTTGGTGGCCTGAATTAAACTTGAGTTCTTCCTGAGATGGATTGTGAAAGCTTCTGCTGGTTACCTACTAGGCATCACCAAGACCCTATTTAAATAGAATCTACACTAAAGAATTTCAAATCATGCAGCTGGTCAACTTCAGACGACAAAATGCTTTGACATGAGGTTAGAGATAGGCAGGCTGCCCTGTTGTTTCGCACACTGCATTGTGGGTTTATATCTCATTCATTTGTAGTTGTAGCCTTTCAGATCCCAGATCTGTCAAAAGATCTTTATGTCCTCTATCTTGGGAGACCTTGACTTTATCTCTGTCTGATGTTGTTATGTGTCACTGAGTCAGAACCAACTCTGCTGGGTTTTCAGAGGCCATATATCAAGTGAATGGAGGAGATTGCCTCTTTTTCTTCTGCAGAGCAGCTGGTGGATTTGAACCACTTGCCCTTGGGTTGGTGGCACAACACTTTACCAGTCAGGTCACCAGAGCTCACTCTAGCTTCAGTATAGTCAACACAACCGGAGTTCAAGAGTCTCAAGTGCCAGAAGCCTTTCACTCTACATCTCAGGATTTGTGTCATTTTTGTTGCTGTGACTTGAGTGAAAATTTACAAAGTAAAATTGGCAATTTACTTCTACGGTTCTCAAATTTATTGTTCACAATGTGGACAACTGCCTATTTTCAGAAAGTTGGTTCTGCCTGGGTAGCCTAACGGGAAAGGAGTTGCACTGTCAACCCAAAGGCAGGTGGATGAAGTCCATCAGCTGCTTCTCAGGAGAAAGGTGGGCAGGCTCCTGTGTAATTTACAGCCTCTGAAAAGCCACTGTGTGTGGGGGGAGTCCACAATGAGTCAGTTCGAATTTGTTGGCATTAACAATCTGGTGGCAGAATGAGTTCTTCATGTGTGAACTCATCTTTAAAACTCTGAAGTGTTAAGGAATGAAAACCCATAATTTCTGTAACTATCACTAAAATAATAAAAATTAAACTGTCTGAGGTGGATAGTGGTATTATCCCTGCCTGAGGTGAGGAAATTGAAGCATTGCTAGTTGATAGTCACCAAACTGTGAAGGTGACAATGTGGTTCCAGAATGTGGCAAAGGACCTGAGAACTAGAAAGCCTGCAGGGCTAAATGTAAAAGCAAGGCCTATCAGGAACCTGGCAGCCTTCTCGGATAACCCCAATCTCTGGACTCCAGTTTCCAAGTATATAAGATTAAAGAGCTACATTAAATGATTGGTTTCTATTCCAGAATCTATCCGTTGTTAACTCATAGCTGACTTTTCTGGGCATTTTCAGAGAATGTCCATCTTTTCCCCATAGATCAGCTGGTGGATTCAAACCTCTCACCTTTGGGGTAGCAGAGCAAATGCTTACCACTAAACCACCAGAGTCTACCTTCTCTACTGTGTATTTTATTGCTGAATAAAAGTACTGAATATCCACGAACCGCAAAAAGAATGAAGAGTGTCTGAAGGTGCAGCCAGAACGTTCCTTGGAAACAATGACCAAGCTTTGTCTCACATACTTTGGGCAGGTTGTTACAAGGGGCTGTTCCTTGGAGAGGGACGTCATGCTTGGAAGGGTGGAGGAGGGTCAATGAGGAGAACCTCAATGAGATGGATTGCCATTGTGACTGCACCAATGGGCTCAAGTTCCTCAGAGGTGATGATGATGATGGCTTAGGATAGTAGAGAGGTCAGATCTGTTGTTCACAGGGTCACAGTCATACGACTTGAAGGCACCTAGTAAGATCAGGCTGACTCACTTCATTGCACAGTAATTTGTAATATCAGGAAAATACTTACCTTGAGGGAATTCTAGCTTATATTCTGGCTCATTGCCCTGCCATGATTTCACTGTACAGAATGGCTTGAAATAAAGAGACTGGAGAATGGGCAGTTTTGAGTGGATAGTAATTCTATTAAAATAATATTTGACAAAATGGATTTTGAACTGCATTTCTTCCATCAGCCTCTCCCCAGCCCCTGAAATGAAGGCATCACTGGTACTGGCCAAAGGACCCTCAGGAACCTAAGAAAAACGTTCAGGCTGAACATGGAGGAAAATTAAGAAAACAAACTTACGGCCATTAGAAACACTTTTATTTATAAAATAACTACTTAAATATAAACATCTCTAAATATAAACACTATTTACAAAAGACTTGCATTTCTGCCTTCGGCCCACGAGCGTCAAGGACACTGGGGCGAGTGTGTAGGCATCTCCTGAAGTTACAGGATTTTAAGGCCAAATGTGCACGTGGTGGAGCACGGGCTGTAAGGCTGCTCGTAATTCCCTTTCTTAAAAAAATAAAATTCATAGTTTCTTGTCTCAAGGTCGGCTTTATAGCTGCAGAAGATGCTAAGAGTAAGAATCTTGTCAAAATAGAGCTTCTGGGAGCAGAGTCTTATGAAGATGAGTCAACATCTTCCCGAGACCCGTGGGAAGCACAATAAGGCACCTCAGATGGTGTGACTTACACTACTGTCTCTGAAGCTGAGAGTTTAAGGTGAATCTAAAAAGGCTAAATTCGAAGTCTGAGATAAGCTACTTCTGGGATCACATATTCTGATTCAAATAAAACACGTGAACTCCATCTGTGAACATAACTAAGTGGTCGTGATGGGCTTGAGAAAGGAATCCAGTATTCCACCAAGGTGGGCTGCCTTCAGCTCCCTGCAGAACTAAATCTTTCAGTGGAATGGCTGGAAGTCTGCTCTGTTCTTCCAGGAAAACTTTTCAGTTACTGGGTCACAGGGAGTCATGAGATGTGACACAGGTCTGTATAATGGAGAAAGGTCTGTCTGAAAGATAACCACATACCTGTTAAAATAAGAGAACCTTTCAAATGAAGGGCTGAAAGAAAATAAGGACTCTAAACACTTCTTAAAAAGGGAAAGACTGAAGGTGAGATTTGCATGACAATCTGGGGATGCAGTGAAAGGAAGAAGGAAAGAATACAGGCGCTAGTATTTTCAGTACTTCTGGAAATCAAGACTAAGTGTATGGTGCATGCTTGAACATGTGCTGGGAATCAGAGGTGTCCAAAAGCCTGGAAAACACAAACCTCTTGCCACAGGCCAAGACACAGCTTGCAAGGGCTCCCAGGCTACCAGGAAGCCCTGAGTGCTTTTCATCCAAGTCAGCATCTGATTGTGGAGCGTGAGGCCACCCCAAACTCCATCTGTGCGGCAGCATCTTCTAACTCCAACATCTCCTATGGCTCCAGCACTGGCTCCAGCACATACAGGAACTGATCTTCTGGTTGGAAATGTCTCATTTCTGTAGGCGGGCCCGAGATCTTACCTCCCTTCTCAGGGTCACGGAATCAATCATTCGCAAGCCTCAGTGTCCATTTCAAATTCTAGGAATTCTAGTGAGCCTCAAGGTTTACAACCCAAGGGAGAACAAGACTTGACTCGTGCTCCACATGACTGTTGTTAAGCAGACCGAGCCCAGGCCCCGGAGTGCGCCCTCCCCTCCGTGGACACGGGGACTCATCAGCAGACTGAGAGCAAAGGCAGCAAGGCTGGCTGGGAGGCAGGCGCGTTCAGGTGTACTCAGTTTTGCGGATATAATTGGAGGGAACATAACCCTTCTTCCCATTGACTTCAGCTAACCACCACTCTGTATTTCCCATAACATCCTTAAACTCAAGGATCTTGAGTCTCTGATTGGCTGACACACTCAGCTCATTTGGGTTCCGTGCATTGAAGGCGTAGACGGCAAAATAGACCTGTGTGAAGGGCAGAAAATAGGAACCTTGTTAGAGTGACACGAACAGAACTTCCCACAGTGGTGAGGACATTCTACATCTACACTGCCCAACATGGCAGCCCGGAGCCATGTGGCTACTGGGCCTGAGCAACTGACTTTGTAAATGTTTATGAACTTCAGAGAGCAGCTATCTAGAGTTCATAAAAAAAATGGACCTGACCTCTGGTTTCCAAGGCTGTAAATGTGTACAGGATACTGAGTGTCCATCTCTGCTCTGAGGAGGTGCTGGTGGATTTGAAACACAGGGGGTGTGCAGTCTTTGGGTGAACAGGAACTCACGATGGAGTGGAGCACCAGAGCTCCCCATAAACACTACGATCCCACCTTGTGGGTGCCCACCACACAGGTGACCGGGTCTGGGAACAGACAGTGAAGTGCCGGCCAGAGAATGCGCAGAAAGGTACAATGCTACCTGTTGGCAGTGCGTGTTCTCAGGCGCAATGTAAGATTTGTCTGTGAGTTCAACTCCTGGGCCAGCTTGGAACAGCAGCACCTGTGTCCACAGTGTGCCCTGCACCACCTGTGCCCCATGGCTAAGCTGGGGTCACTCACCTGGTTGCCTGCCGCCTCGCTGCTCTCTGGCTCTCGGCTTTTGTCTTCCACGGGCTGGGCTGTTCTGGCACATTCTTTCCCGAGGTCTTTACTTGGCCCATTTCGACCCGGGATGGGGTAAACAGCCGCTTCGGGATGTCTGGAGTTTCGGTAGCTCCTTGGGGTGGCTGTGGGCTGGGTGATGCTGGTGTCTCCAGCCGCATCTACAGATTCCCACAGCCGAGGCGGGGAGGCGGAGTCTGTGTCAGAAAGGCACCGGGAAGGGTTACCCTCTGAAGTACCGGAGTTTAACGATGCACTCAGACTTCCTGGGTCGATTTCCTTCAATGGACTTGTATCTTGAGGCTGTTTCTGACAAGGTCCTGAGGTAAAAGACACGGCCAAGTTGTTGGGGTTGAAGGTCAAGGTGCTGTTGCTATTCTGCCGTGGGCATCTGGGAGAGGAACTGCTGTGCTCTGACTCGTTGGAGGAGTGGCTGCCCACGGAGACATCCGAGTGGCTGCGGCGAGGATTGTAAGGCTTCAGGAAGGAGCTATACACAAAGCCTTTGGTGACTGTGGAAGGAAACACAGAAGAGCCTTAGTAGAAGGAAGAAGAGAGAAGCAATAGTGAAATGCTTTGTGATAAAACAGGTCAACACGCAGTTTGGGTGAGTAGAGACAGCAAGCTGTGGATACCTGCCCATTCATTCTTGTTACAACAGCTTAACAGACGAGGACAAGGAGGACAAGGATAATAAAAACGACTACATGAGAACGGGGGCATGAAGAATACTCAGAAGGATGCTAGATCATGGGAGGAAGACTAAGGGGAAGACCTAATCAAGAAAGTGCTCAATACGAGGGTGATTTCTTGACAGCCGCTCACACAGGATCCTTGCTTCTTTTCCCACTTACAACATTTGAACCACGACCTTGGCTTTGGATTGCTCCAGAAATTCTAAGAAAATATCCTCACACCAGAAGGAGTTTATACACACATAGCAGAGAACACTGTTGGCTTAACAGTTAGGAGTTGTGCTGCAAACCTGGTTCAAATCTACCAGCTGCTCTGAGAGGGAACAATGGCAGTCTTCTCCGGTGCCTGCCTCTGAAAGTCCCCTGAAGGGTCAGTCATGAGTCATTACAAAACCACAGCAGTACATACACAGTACCCACATCGCATGCATTTATGTCAATAAATGGCGTAAGATGATGAAAAACTCTTTAAAAAAACCCTCAAAAAAACCACTTCATTGTTGTCAAGTCAGAACTGAGTCATAGCTGCCCTCCAGGAGGTTGTCAGAAGCTGTTAAGTCACAGCTTCTAAATCCCTTACCCATCTTTCTCCCTCAGGGCAGCTGGTAGATGCAACCCTGTGTCTACAGGTGGCAGTAAAATTCCTTAGTGAAGCCACCAAGGGAGCTCTAGTGGCCAAGTGGCAAGAAGGTGTGCTGCAATCATGAAGGCACATGGTTTGAGGCTACCTCGCTGCTCTGTGGGAGAAGGATAGGCAATCTCCTCCGGTGTGATTAACTGCTTCTGAAAACCCGCCTGAGGGTCAGCTATGGGTTAGTTCCGACTGTATGGTACGCAACAACAACCTACCAGTTCTCCTAGGATGATGAAAGAGAAGACCAAAACTTGGATGTAGTCTGTACTACCAAGTTTTGGAATTCAGGTGTTTGGGATTTAGAAAGGTAATCAAGTTCATTTCTTCTATTGCAGAATATCCCTGGTAGGGTCTACAGGTCAACACTCCAGTCAAACCCATTTCAGTAGCAAAATATATGACTATTTAAACCAAAAGAGATACATAATAATTATAAATAGCCTCATATCACTATGTTCAGTTCAGGTTTAAACACCAAATGATCAAGTTGGGTTCTAACACAAGTTCTTTTTTTTTTAAATTTTTATTTTATTTTATTATTTGTGTGTGTGCGTGTAACCGTCAAATCAGATCTGACTGGTACAGGAGGAGATTGTCCTTCCTTCCTCGGCAGAGCATCTGGTGGATTCGAACCGGGCACCTCTGGGATTGCAGTAACACAAGTTCTTAAAAACAAAACAGTTTTTCAGAGCTCTCTGGATTTCCTCAGAGGTTTGTGGGAAAAGGATTATGGATTATGTACTAGCCTCTTAAATCTATCACTTCTCATGGGGTAAAATGAAAAGGTGTGAATTCAAGCTGTAAATTGTGTTCAAAGTAAATCCCTAACTAACCACAGAGGAAAAAAGTCAGAAAAACAAAATTCCACTTTAGAAACTTAGAGGTTTCAAATTCACACACAAGACAATATTCTAGAAATTGGAGAAAGACAGTTTAATTTGCTGTTTACTCTGAACAAGCTGTGAGAGAACAGGATCCCATTAGGCAGCATCTATTGCCTGGGAGAGTTTAAAAAAAAATGGCAAGATTTTACAAGATAAGTAATGGAATGTCCTCTGGAATTTGTTAAAACAAAACCAAACCCAAAACCAGGTAATTTTCTCCTCTCATCAAAGATGCTCGCATTTTTCCACAGCCCACGCAGAATTCAGGAATAGCTCAGACCACTTCTTGATATGGAGTTAAGAGTAACAGGACGTCTAAAACACTTACCTCCATTGTCAATCAGCCAGCGGTTCTGACTGCCCATAGGGTCTTTCTTTTTAATCACACCTACAAGGTCACCTTCCAAAAGCGAGACATCCAGGTCTTGAGCAGCGTTGAAGTTGCGCTCTGCTTGGAATAGTTTTTCAGGAGGATACCGAGCCAGAAGGGAAGCCCGGAGTTCTTCTGACTGCAGCATGTAACTTGGCTGGAAGGCAATGTGAGATACTGTCAACAAACCACCCCTTTGGTCATTCTCCCAGCAGCCATACTTAATCCCAGCACACAAGGAAGGAGTCGACAATGAGGGCAATGACAATCAATCAGTCACTACCTCCATTAGTTATTTCTGTAATAGTCAGTTCAAATGTCCTGGTGGTGTGCCCAGTGTGTTAATGTGTCAGGCTGCTAACAACAAGACTGGGGGTTCAAATCCACCAGTGGTTCTGATGGGCAGTCCCCTTCCGTAAAGATTTAGAGCTTTGGAAATTCAATGGGATCAACTCAACTGGCAGTAGGTTTAGACAATGCTCCCACAGTTATTAAAGGCATTTAACATACATTGAGTTTGCCATCTGTTAGGCTGTAACAAAAAAAGTAATGGAAGTACCACCTAAAGAATAAAAATACCAAAGTCATGTCACTAGGTCTTCTTATATTTTAAACAACAGAGTCTTTCCCCATCTCTTAACTTTTCCCATCAATCAATTGTTGTTGTTGTTATTATGTGACATCAAGTCGCTTGTGACTCATAGCAACCCTATGTACAAGAGCCCTAAACGCCGTTTTGTCCTGTGCCAACCTCGCCATCTCAAAAACACTCATTCCCACCACTCCAATCACAGAATCGATCCATCTCATTGAGGGTCTTCTTCTCCTTCACTGTCCCTCCACTCTGCCAAACATGATGTCCCTCTCCAAGGACCAGTTCCTCCTTGCAACGTGCCCAAAGTATGTCAGACAAAGCTTCAGAATCCTTGACTCCAAGAAACATTCCAGCTTCACTCTCTCCAGGACAAACCTGTTTGTTCTCCGAGCAGTCCATGGAATATTCAACACTTTTCTCCAGCACCACAGCTCAAAGGCATCAATTCTCTTTCTATCATCCTTATTCACTGTCCAAACTCTCCAATGCATAGCATGTAAGTGCAAAGACTATTAGTCTGGATCAGGCACACCTTAGTCTCCAGCCTGATGTTATTGCTCTTCAGTACTCTTGAGAGGTCCCTCACAGCTGACTTTCCCAATACAATTTGTCTCCTGATTTCCTGGCTGCTGTTACCAAGAGTTTTGACTGTGGAACCAAGTAAACTAAAACTGTTAACTATCTCACTCTCTTCACCATCCATACTGATACTGCCAATTGGCCCAGTGGTGAGAATCTTTGTCTTCTTGATGTTGAGCTTCAATCCATATTGAAGACTGCAGTCTTTGACTTGCTGCAGCAAGCGCTTCAGGTCCTCCTCAGTTTCAGCAAGCAGGGTTATGTCATCCGCATAACGCAGGTTGTTGATGATTCTTCCACCAATCCTGATGCTAAATTCTTCTCATACAGCCCAGCGTCTCGGATGATCTGTTCTGCATACAGATTGAAAAGGTATGGAGACAAAATACATCCTGACGAGCCCCCTTCTTGATTTTGAACCATCCAGTGTCTCCTTGCTCTGTTCTGATGACTGCCTCTTGGTCCAAGCATATGTTTTGCATTAGCACAATCAAATGTTCTGGGATTCCCATTCTTCTCAGAGTCAGTCATAGCTTGTTGTGATCCACACAGAGTCAAAAGCCTTTGAATAGTCAATGAAGCACAGATAGACATTCTTCTGGTATTCTCTGCTTTCTGCCAAGATCCTTCTAATATTAGCTATAATATCCCTAGTACCACGACCTCTTCTTAAATCCAGCCTGCACATTTGGCAGTTCTCTGTTGACATATTGTTCCAAACGTCTTTGGATTAATTTTCAGCAGAATCTTGCCTGTATGTGATATCAATGATATTGTTTGATAATTTCCACACTCTATTGGGTCACCTTTCTTTGGAACAGGAATAAATATCGATCTCTTCCAGTCAGTTGGCCAGCTGGCTGTCCTCCAGATTTCCTGGCACAATTTAGTGAGCACATTCAGGGCAGCGTCTGTTTGTTGTAATAAATCAATTGGAAACTGGAACATAGAAAAGTGACCTGCTCAAGGACACAGGACATACTTAAGTGTTAGTACTGGAATGTGAACCCGGGCAGGCTCGCTCCAGGGCTCCTACTCTTAGCCATTAGGTCACACTGCCCTTCTCTGGGACTTCTATACTCACCAGGCCCAGAAGTGGCTTTCGGACAGACTGGCGGTCCATGGTTTTCCTCTCGAATGGCCTCTTGGTGGCTGGGAGAGTCTCTGGGAAGAAGGTGAACACCTGCAGATGCTGCAGGACCCTGCTGTGCTCTTCATGGAAGACAGCAATCAGGTTTCCCTCTCTGCCGGCGACTTTAAGTAACTAGAGCCCATGGGAAAAGGCGAGACAGAGGAAAGAAAAAAACTGCAATGAGATCCTGGCACTGGCGAAGCTTCATCAAAACTGACTGGAAGCTGAAGCTGGGCGACAGTTCACTACGTGTAAGGCATCAACACTCAGGCCTGAGCTGCAGCCTGATCGAGACAAAGTGCTCTGTGGCTTTGCCAGCAGGGAAGCTGGCCAGCTCTTCTGGGAACTTCTCAAGATGGAAAGAAAGGCATTTAAACACTACAGGGTTTATGCCACCATCTAGGGATCAACAATTCCAATACTGGATGGATTTCATCCATGCCTCTTAGTTTGTAAAGGTCCCTGGGTAACACAAAAATTAAATGCTCAGCTGTTAATTTAAAAGTTGCTGAAGTACTTGAAAGACATATTTGGGGACCCACTTCTGAACTATCACCCCCTGAATAGCCTCTGGAATGCAATCCAGTTCTACTCGGCCGCCGCACAGGGTTGCACAGAGCTGGGATCACCTCAAGGGGTGGATCCTTAGTTCTAATTACTGTGCATTCCCATTACAAAGGCCAGAATGTCCCCTTTCTCAGAGGGAGGAACTCACAGAAAGCAGAGGCTGTAACTGCTCCAGGGCCTGGTGCACGAAGTCGCTGTGGGCCTCGGCGTAGCCATGGACGCAGTTGGTGAAGAGGCCCTGGGCGTACTGGTGGAACTTGGGCAGCTCGTCCAGCAACTGGGCATTCAGGGCCTCGTAGTTGTTGCGAGCTGACTGCAGCTCTTCCAGAGTCTTCTTGTCCTTCAGCTTCTCAGCCCGTTCAGTGCAGTTATAGAAGTCCAGGAGCTTGTCAAAGCGCTTCTGCACCAGCTTGTGCGGCCCTGTAAACATGCTCAGTAACTGATTTAAGGGAGAGATGACAAGGCGCTCGGTCCTCTCTTTCTGTAGGGAAGAGAAAGGCAGACGGCTTATCTGGATTCCATCAGCACCTCATAGTTGTTATGCTATTCTCCAAAATACACGAGACTTTGAATGTTTCCTTATGATCATAGTGGAGCTTTTTTTTTGATCACAGAGTTTTTTCTTGAGCAATGAAAACGATTCACAACTACACTGAGTAAGAGAGATGGTTTCTAGAAGGCCAGGTTCTAGACATTTAAAAAGATCAAAACCACAAATGGCTATCAATGATAATACACACTTCAAAAAATCCTAAAAGCTAATGCTACTGACTTGTTCCCCAAATATAAAGCTAGATTGACAAAAGCCTGGCCAATCTTGTATTATCTGGGGAATTTCTGTGGCACTGGAATGGAACCCATCAGCAGTAAAAGTCTGCTAACAGGTTACGAATAGTGCAATTTCCAAAATGCTCTTAAAATGGACTCTGCTATGTCCTGGACCCTCTCCTGTGCCCTCAACATCCAAGCTAAACTCACACAGATCTACAACAGTGCTTACTGTCCAACACAGAAGACTGTACTCACATAATCCACAAAGCTTCTTAATTTACAGCTCTCCAACTATTCTCACACAGTCTGCACAATATGCTAATCCCACCAGCACTCCTCAGTTGACAACAAACGGTAAACTATGCACGTTCCAATAATGTGTGCATTCCAGAGCAGATGTCACAGCCTGTCTTTTGTCATTTGTTATATGTATGTGTCTATAAAGCCTAAATTTAACTTATGACTTAGCTGCCAATGTAAGTCAGAGGTCGTCTAACTTTCACATGCCCATAATACCTCTTCTAATGACAACTGTTTGTTATTACTGGTTTTCACCATTTAAAGGAGTTGGGTCTTTAACTCTTGCAAAAGGGACAAATACCATGGGTAGGATACTGAACACTCAAAGAACATAATAAATGGGCATTTTTGGTAAATGATTTTTACTAAGATGCTACTGCTGGTTCATGTGTTGCATCCCATTTTCTTAAGCTTCAAGGCATCCAGGAGGCTGGGAAAAACTATCAAACCTCACCTATTTCTTTCCACTTGGGATTAAATAATGTGACGATGTCTCCTATGGAGCACCGGTGGCACAATGCATAAGCAGTCACCAAAAGGTGGGTGGTTTGATCACCCCCAGGAGCTCCAGAGGTGTGTGTGTGTGTGTGTGTGTAAAAATGCCTGTTAATCTGCTCACATACAGATCACAGCTAGAAAACTCTATGTGGCAGTGCTATCCTACCCTACGGGGCTACTTCAGTCAGAATGGATGTGACAGCACCCAACAACAACAATCCTATACACCTTTATTTAGGATTTCGCAAACAATCTGGCTTAGGTACTTTAATTTCAAAGGTATCTTTGATAGCCTTATTCTTGATAGCTATTCTGAAACATTGCTTTTTAAGTTATTACAACTATAAATACTTTTAAGCAATCATCATGTCTTTCCTAGCTCTTCAACAAATTGAAAACCATGTTTTAATAGAAAATGTTTATGGATGTAGGGAGCTCTGGTGGCACAGTCCACCATGCACTGTGCTGTTAACCCAAAGGCCGGGGGTCTCCGGTGGTTCAAATCCACTGGCAGTTCAGGAGGAGAAAGATGGGCGATCTCTCCTCATTATGATTTACAGCCGCAGAAAAGCTGATGCAGGGGTCTCTATGAGCTGGAGCTGACTTGAAGCAGTGTGTTTGAGAGTTGGAGTATATTAATATAAGCAGAGGACAGCTAGGACTCATGACATACATCTGTGGCGAAAGCAGTCATGAACTGGATGTTAAAAGAGGAGCTTGGTGGTGCAGGTGTCAAGTGCCTGGCTGCTAACCAAAAGGCTGGCTGTTTCAACCCACCACCTGCTCTTTGGGAGAAAGATGTGTCAGTCTGTTTCCATAAAGATTATGGCCTTGGACACTCCGAGCTGTGTCTCTACTCTGCCTTTTGGGCTGCTATGAACTGGAATCAACACAGCAGTGGGCATTTGCTTTGGATATTCACAAAACTCTCAGAAGTCAGCCCAAATTGTGAGGAGGAGGAAGGACAAAGTGTCTCTTACAAAACTCGTGAAGAGCTGATCACTGATGTAACGATGCACCTTCTCGAACTGCTCCAGTTCTTTGTTTCCTTTCTCCATACACACGTCCCACATGCTCATGGCGGCCACCACCTTCACACACGCCGATTCCTGCAGCAGGTGGGAACAAGCACGAGTAAGAGCCGAGAGAACACTCCAGCCATCGTTACTCATGTTCAAGTTCTATGAAGGGAAATATTTATCTGCTTTATCTACAGACTCAGTTAGCCTTTGCTGAATGAATGAATATATAAATAAGAGAAGAACGCATAGCCAACTCCTGATTAATCCTGACAGTTTTTAAATTGTAACCAGATTTTCCACGTCTGCTTGGCGTAATATTGGGACTTCTGTCTGCTTTAAGTTTATGGATGTTGATAAAGCCCCCCAAAAAACTCTAAAAGCAGTACAAACCACATTTAGCATATATTATATCTATATTGCCATGGGAAAGTCTGCTGTTAGGGACCTCTCCAAAGTGCTGAAGAGCAATGGTGTCTCTCTGGAGACTAAGGTGCGTCTGATACAGGCTATGGTCTTCGCCATCACTTGTTATGCATCAGAGAGTTGGACAATGACCAGGGAGGATAGAAGGAGAATTGATGCCTTTGAGCTGTGGTGCTGGAGAAGAGTATTGAGAATACCATGGACTGCTAGGAAAACAAACAGGTTTGTCCTGGAAAGGGTTAAATTGGGTGGCTCCTTGGAGGCAAAGATTCTGAGGCTCTGTCTAACATACTTTGGACATGTTGTGAGGAGGGACCGGTCCTTGGAGAGGGGTATCATGCTTGGGAGGGTGGAGGGACGGCGCAGGAGAGGAAGGCCCTCTATGAGGTGGATTGATTCAGTGACTGGGATAATCGGGATGGGAGTGTCAGAGACAGTGCGATTGGCACAGGACAGAGCGGAGTTTAGGGCTGTTGTGCATGGGGTCACTATGAGTCGCAAGTGACTCAACGGCACATAACAACAACAACAACATCTTATGTTATATATTATATATCCATCTCAAAAGTAAATAAAATTCTGAATAATCCTGGTTTTGGAAGCAGTGCAGCCAGACATTCCTTATCCTCAGACATGAAAATGGTGAGTCTCTCTCTCACCTCCTTCAGGCACGTGATCAGGAAGGGCCAGTTCCTGGAGAAAGACATCGTGCCGGATAAAGCAGAGAGAAAGAGGAAGAGGAAGACCCTCAACGAGATGGACTAACACAGCGGCTGCAACAATGAGCTTCAGCACAGCAGATTGTGAGGACGGCACGGGGCCGGCCACGGGGCTAGAGCTGCTTCAATGACACCTAACAACTACAAGCTAAAAAAATACAAGTACCTTAAAATCTCAGTTATTTTAATTTTTCAAAATGATGTTTAGACCTACATGTAAACACGAACACCCTGGGCCAATTGGCAGCACCATGAGAGATGGAGAAGAGATTGAGGTTGTTAACTATTTCAGGTTGCTCAACTCCATAATCAAAACTTTTGGTACCAGCAGTCAAGACATCAAAAGATGAACTGCACTGGGAAAATCTGCTGTCAGGGACCTCGCCAGAGTACTGAGGAGCCACGATGTCAGTCTAGAGACTCAAGTGCTGAGTGATACAGGTCACGGTCTTTGCAATTACTTGCTGTCCATCAGAGAGCTGGACAATGACTAAGGATGACAGAAGAACTGATACCTTTGTGTTGTGGAGAAGAGTACTGAACATACTGTGGTCCACCAAGAGAGTAAACACATCTGTGTTGGAAAGGGTGAAACCAAGTTTCTCCTTAGAGGTTAGGAGTTTGAAGCTCTGTCTCATATAACTTTGGGCACATGGCCAGAAAGGACCAGTCCTTGGAGAAGGACATCATACTTGGAAGGGTGGAGGGACAGCGCAGGACAGGAAGACCCCAGATGAGAAGGATTTACATAGTAACTGGAGTTACTGGGGTAAGTGTGTTAGTGAGACTGGCTCAGGACAGGGCAGGCTTCAGAACTGTTGTACATAGGGTCGCTATGAGTCACAGGCAACTTGATGGCACATAGTAACATCCAAGACACAAGCATGTCAACACACAAATGGGTTTTCAATGACTGATTTCCCAGTAAATCACGTTTTTCTTCCTAGAAACTCAGGCGTAATCTGGATAGTTATTACTTGGACAGCGAGAGACTATCACACTGGCGTTCTGCTATTAATGTGCAGAGATCTGAAGAAATTCTGAGTACCTGTGCCTTTCTTCCCCTCCTAATTGCCAATGTTTTCCAGTTTACATTTTTGTTTGTCTAGTTTTATTATTAGGCAGAACATGTCATTTAATGGAGTCCCTGGTGGTATGAATTATTAACAGTTATCTGCTAAAGGAAAGGTTGGCAGTTCAAGCTCACCCAGAGGTGTCTTAGGAAAAAGGTCAGGTGATCTATTTCCCTAAAAATAAGTCACTGAAAACCCTGGTGTACAATTCTATTACGGCATCTAAAGGGCTGCGATAATGCCCATCGACTTAAAGGCAATTGATTTTTAATTATTTTTTTTGATGAACAGAATCATACTAGATATGATTCTAACCAGAGTGATGTCTTCTACTCACCCGGATGTGCTGGAGGTAGAGAGACAAGTCCCGGATAAAAGATTTGATCATTCTCTCCTGCATCCGGAAATTCTTTTCTGTTTCTTCAAATACTTCATCTTTTATCTGTTCAAAATAAGCAAGTGTTACTAGCAAGCTTCGATTCTCTCTCAATCATTTGCCAGCAAAATAATCTTTGTTAAAAGCATCGTTTGTTCAAACTTTAAACCTTCTATGATTGCTCAAATCACACAGAAATGAAACACTATGATGTGGCTTTGAAAGACCACCAAAATGCATGCAGGCCACCCTTATGATTAAACCGCATTGTCTACCATTCCTGATATAAAGCCTTTGCTCTGGTGAGGGGCTCTTGCTTCCCTCCTGGTCCATACCGCACTGCTGGCCTCAGTGCCGACACCCACTTGTTGCCTTCGTCTGCTATGCCTTTCCCTCTCACTGTACCCAGCCTGCCCTCTTCATTTAAGGCTTAGCTGAAATCTCATGCCAGTATGAAGCATTTCACTGAGCTCTTGGCTTTAAGTATTATAACATTTGGGGGGGAAAACCCTCAAACTGATTTTTTCCTAGCCTGTATTTTCTACTAACTCTATTACATACATACCCATGATATAACAAAATGAAGCCTAGAGACACCGGGTCTACTGTACTAGCACTATAATTAAACTGCTTTTCAACTCACTCAATCTCTTAGAAGTTAAATTTCCTTATTTGTGTTAATATGGTTCTAACTAGATGGTCTCTTAACATGTCTACAATTTAAATTCTGACTCCCTAAACAGATTACAAACTTCTTGAGTGTCTAGTAGTGTAGGAATGACTCTATATTGATGGGTATGGTCTGCTAATTTGCCTTCGGATACAGTGAACAGCTCACCGGTGGAGGAATGGACAGTTGAGTGGGTGGATTCACATTCATAGTAGCTGTGGAGTCCTGGATCCAACAGCCAGAAAGCTCCAAAGGAGGAAAGCGTGCCAATTTACACCACAAAGCAGGCTGCCCTGGGAGCCCTGGACAGCTGTTAAAGGCATGCAAACCTTCAGGTACAGAGATCTCACCTGAGGAGCAAAGCCAGTGAGGTGCTTCAGGTGGCTGCTAACTCGGTTGGACTTCTTGATGATGGAGTGGATGTTCAGTTTGGAAATTTTCTCCATGAGGCTGTCTTCATCACCCTTACGGTACTTGAGGACTAGGGAGTGAGTCAAGAAAGCATATTCCTGAGCATGGATACAACACTGAATTACAACATGAGATTGTACAACCCAAACTCGAGTGAGTTCTTCACTGCAATGAGGTCCTAAGTGAGGAGTAGAGCCAAAACAGCCATAGAAACAATCGTTTCTAAACAGAACAGCTAACGAAAAGCAGAGACTGGGCGAGCTCTGGTGGCCTAGTGGTAGGAAACTGCACTGCAATCCCAGAGGTGCATGGTTCAAATCCACCAGATGCTCTGCTGAAGAAGGAGGAACAATCGCCTCCTGTACCAGTCAGATCCGATTTGACGGTACACACGTAAAAAAAAAGAAAAAAAAGAGAAAAGCAGAGACTGTGTGGCCATCTTGGAGAAGGGTTCAGAGCAAGGAGGTAAGGTGGGTGGGGTGTAAAGGAAAGAAAGAAAGACTAGAGTCAGAGGCTATGTAAGTTCAGAAACTGCATCTGTCAATTACTTAATGTATGACCTTGGACAAGTCACTTTCCTTTTGGAACCCTATTTTTCCTATTCAACAAAATGCAGACAGCAATGCTTGCCTTGTGAGACCATCTTAAAAAGTCTCTTACATAGAGATGCATGTGCAATCTTGTCATCTAGTGAAATGCTTTTACTTTATAAACTAACACATTAGACACGATTGGTAGAAAGTCTAGAGAGAAAAGCAGAAAGGTAGCAAGCGATAAGGTGAAAACGGGCACTTTTTTACGATGAAGACTACCTTCTATCAGGAGATAAAAACCAAGAAAAAGGATCAGCCAGCCAAAGAGCTTTAACAGCCACACCTAATGAAGGTGACATGGTTGAAGCAGACAACACAGAAAACGACTACAGAGAAAAGTGTGGAAAATAGTGGAAAGACAAGCAAGGATGTTACACTACATCTTAGATCCTTTAGAAATATGAACAATAAATCAGTTTAGCACAGTCAGCAGCCTGTACTCCTTGGGTATTCAATTAAGACTTTAACAAGAAATTTTATAAAAGAGAAATGAAGAGACTAGTTTATTTGATAGAGGATGAGTGGTTTGGCAGCTGACTACGGTGTCCGAAGAGAAAAGTTATTGGCTGTCATCAGGAATGATGGGGTCCAGAGAGATAGTTAAGTTGAAGTTTTCTCAAAGAAGACAAAAAAATCTAAGTAAGAATAAATGGGAGCTCTGCTGGGCTGCAATCCCGAAGACACATGGTTCAAATCCACCAGCTGCTTTGTGGAAGAAGAATGGGCAATTTTCTCCTGTGTGATTAACTGAATCTGAAAATCCTCCAGAGGGTCAGCTATGGGTCGGTTCTGACTTAATGGTACACAACAACAACAAACAACAAGAATAAGGAATAGAAGAAAATGGAACATGAAACTAAGCGACTCCATGAATAGAAATGGATAATGCCTGGCGGCAATGATGAAATATTTGATTAGATTTTATAGAATCCTGACTAAGAAGGTGGGAGGAAAAATAGAGAAAAGACATTCAAATTCCCATGGAATCCAGACTTCCTGGAGCCATGGAGGCTGGACAGACAGATCCCTGAGACTATTGCCCTGAGATATCTTTAAACCTCAAATCAAAGAGATTATCCCTGGATAATATCTTAAAACCAAAAAATTAAGTCTTCTTAAGACCAAACAATAGCTTAACCAGTTAAAAAATACCTGCCTTGTGCAGTATCCTCTTTAAAGAATAATCAATATGAAATCAAATTGATAAGAGCAATTGGGAGGATTTTTAGCTAGGAACTTTAAGGGACACTGAGTTGATATTCATGGAAAAGAAACAACTGAGAAAAGAAGGGCAAGAATGGCTGCAAAACTCAAAGAATGGACTCAATGTCATTCAACTGTACGTGGAGAAACCAGATAGGTGAACGTTTTAACTGTGCATATGCTCAACAACAACAAAAATAAATTATTATTTTTTTTTTTTAATTTATTATTTTTGTGTGCGTGTACCATCAAATCAGATCTGACTGGTACAGGAGGAGATTGTCCCTCCTTCCCCGGCAGAGCATCTGGTGGATTCGAACCGTGCACCTCTGGGATTGTAGTTGCAGCTTCTTGCCACTAGGCCACCAGAGCTCCCCTAAAAATAAATTATTAAACACTTTAAAGACAAAAGTTCTAACTTTAGAGAAGGCAGTTAGACAATCAATTAGAAATGCAGAGGAAAAATAAGAAAAGCCTAAAGATAGATTGGGAGGGAAAGACTGCGCTAAATGAGTTGGAAAAGGCTTAAATGAAAGTGCAACAATGAATGAATGGAAATCTAAAGTCTCTGTAAATTTTCATTAAAATTAGTAATAAAAAATTTAAAAAAGAAAAAGGCTTAAATGAGTTCGTATTTGACAGAACTCTTTTGATTGATCTTTCAATCTTGACTCATATGTCTTAGAAAATCAGATGCCTTTATTCCAATATTCTATAATTGTGCTTTTTAATTATTATTGTTTCTACTCCCACATGCTCATGACACTCCCCCATATTTTCCTATTGTTTCTTCATTATAGTCTCATAGTGGAGAATTAAGTCTATGAAAAGTGTTGTTAAGGGCCTACCTCCCTCTTAGCAATTATGCTTTCTTTCTTTTTTTTTTTTTCATTTTATTATTTTTGTATGTGTGTACTGACAAATAAGATCTGACTGGTACAGGAGGAGATTGCCCCTCCTTCCCCAGCAGAGCATCTGGTGGATTTGAACCGTGCACCTCTGGGATTATAGTTGCAGCTTCTTGCCACTAGGCCACCAGAGCTCCCGTCAATTACGCTTTCTTACCCAGGTCTTTCCGACGTTTATACTCATTGATGTTAACATTGATTTCCTTCACTGCAATGACTGCACTGGTCAAAGGCATTTTGTCCGGGTGGGATTCTGGGGTGGCATTCAGCAACTCCATTAGCAGCAGCGGATAACGCATTATTCTTTGCACTGGTTTGATCAGGAAGGAGCCTAGGTTAATATAATTTGTGCAACCCCTATAATAAAAGAAAAAAGAAATACAAAGAGACTTTAGCCAATTGTCATTAATACAGTTCCTAATGGCAGAATCTGTTATTCCAAAAAATTATTTTCACCATACATTCTACTTTTGTTCATTCATCAAATATTTACTGAGTGACTAATAACACAAACACCACTCAGCATCCGTGGAAGCAGCAGTCAAGAAATTAATCGACGTATTGCATCGGGCCAATTTACTGACAAGACGCTCCACGAAGCACTCAAGAGTGCCGAAGTTACACATGACCTCAAGCCATAGCATTTTCAAATGCTTTATGTGCATGTGCAAGCTGAACGTTGAAGGCTGAAGCAGAACTGATGCCTCTGAATTTTGGTGTTGGTAAAGAATACGGAACAGATCATGAACTGCAAAAGAACTATCAACTTTATCTTGGAAGAAGTGCAGCCAGCGTGCTCCTTAGAGGCAAGGATGCGGAGATTTTTGTCTCACACACTGTGGACATGTTTTTGGAATGGGACAGTTCCTGGAGAAGGACATCAAGCTGGAAAAAGTAGAGGGTCAGTCAAAGAGAAGACTCAACAAGATGAACAGACACAGTGTTGGCAAAAAGAAGGGTTAAGCACAGCAGAGACTGTGAAGATGGTGCAGGATTAGACACAATTGAAGTCTGTTACACAGAAGGTGCCTGTGAGTTGGAGCAGACTTTGTGTTGCTGCTGATTGCCTTTGAGTCAAGCACGATTCATAGCGACCCTATGAGCGAAAAGGCCTGAAGCCTCTCTATAACTATTGATGTTTCTCAAAGTTCATAGGGTTTCTGGAGGCATGTTGTTTAGGAAGTGGATGTCACTCCTACTTCCAATAATGAGACCTACCAGCAATAAATACAAGGTACTTTTTTTTTTTTTTAGGTGCTGGGGATTTAGTAGTAACTAAAAATTTCCTATTCTGGAATAAAAGAAAATTAGTATTAAACAAGGAAACACCTTTAGGGAGCTCTAGAGGCAAGAAGCTGCACTGCAATCACAGAGGCGCATGGTTTGAATCCACCAGATGCTCTGCTGGAGAAGGAGGGGCAATCTCCTCCCGTACCAGTCAGATCTGATTTGATGGTACATACACACAAAAATAATAAAAATAAAAACAAAACAAACCAAACAAGGAAACACATAAAGCATCATTTGGTGGTAAATACAGCAAGGCAGTTTCACTTTCAAGAGGCTAGAACTGGATGGGGCTCAGCTACCATTACCAAACATTTTGATCAAAGAGTCTATAAAAACTCTTGATCAAAAAGGAGAAAATGTAAACCAGAATTTAGGAAATTTAGACTTTCTGGAGTCATGAGGCTGGGTGATATAGGGAAATTTCTGCCTATAAGCAAAGGAAATAAAATTATTGTAAGGATAAGAAAAAGTTCATTCATGACATGAACTTACCCATCAAGTAGCAAAGAAACTTACCATTCACTGTAGAGGTTCCTATAGGGCAGTGAACATGAAAAGAAAGAGACAACTGATTAGAGGTGCTGCTGGTGATCATTTTCACATTCTTCTCACAATTTTTTTTTTGGTAGAGAAAAATTATATGGGCGAAAAGGGGAATTATGGGCACCCGTGTATAAACGGCCAATGCACTTAGTTGCTAACTACAAGACTGTTCTCACTCAGAGGGTCCTCAGAAAACCCTGGCAATACACTTATTCTATTCAATTCTATTCTATTCTATTCAATACACTTGTTCTATTCAGACAACCATAGAGTCAGAGTAGTAGACTCTGGTGACTGGATGTTTTTTTGTTTTGTGATATATCTAACCTACTACGAAAAGGGAGCAAGAACTTAATTTCACTTAGATCTTAAAAATCCAAACCCAAACCCACTGCTATTAAGTCTCACACCAACTCTGTGAGGACAGAGTAGAATTGCTCCATAAGGTTCCTGAGGCTATAAACTTCAAGGGGGCAGACTGGAATATCTTTGTCTCAGGGAGCAGTTAACTGGTTTGAAAGGCTAACCCTCCAGATGGCAGGAGAGCATTTTAACCACTGTGGCATTAGACAGGGCTCCTCCCACTGTGAACTACTTTGACATATATTATTATATCCTTGTCATCAGTCTACTTAAGACAAAAGGAAATATACTCTCTTTCTGGTGCTTTATATCTAAAAAAATCACTAACTTGACACTTAAGATTTCCATGATCTATTATGGCAAAAAGCAAGCTACAGAACAGGATGTATGAAGGGATATCACTAACTTATAAAATACAGATCTATAGACTCATGTCACAGAGTCTGGACTGAGGTGACTTTTCAAGGTGCAATCAGAGTCGTAAAGAGTGTGAAGGGGTCAAAGTTCCTACTTCAGATCCGCCAAGGAGTCCTGAAGGTGCTTCTGGAACTTCTCATCCTTCTCGTAGATATCCAGCAGCGAAATGGCTTCATCGTGATTCTGGCAGTAAACCTTGTATGTTCCCTCAAGCTCATCCCGGTGATCAAGGAACACAGCGCCTGAGAAACAGAAACACACAGAGTGTTTTTCATAGCTTTCTCTTCTTTGACTTCTTTAGTCTAAGAACACTAAACCAAGTATGCTGAACATAAAAAAAAGATATTAAAACTTCACTATAAAAAAAAAAACACAACCAAGCAAACAAAAAGCCCAACTTCACTATCAATTAAATTCCATCACAAGAAAATGATCTCCAGCTACATCTAGGAAATTGTCAAGGGATAGCTTAAACTTTTGTTTAAGGCAAAATCCTAAAGACCATGCCACCTATGTATTTTTCAAATGGAATTTAGAGAAGTGTGGGAGACCTGGTCCCTGCATAACTGAAATACAGAGGATTACAAATGGTGTATCAATTGACAGATACATATATACACAGAAAATATTTAAAATCCAAATTTGTGATGTAACAACACTTGTGTTTTTTCATTTTGTGAAATCACTGAATAAGAAGATAAAACAAATGATCTAATACCCACCACAATTTTTATAAGTGGCCTAAGAAACTAATAGCACTTCCCTGTTCTTTTCACCTTCCCAGGCGATTCCCAAGAGCCCCGGTGGCTCAGTGACTAGAGCATCCAACTGCTAACTGAATTGTTGGTGGTTTGAACCCATCTGCCGCTCCACAGGAGACAAACATGACACTCTGTTTTTATTAAGATTGTGTTGTTGCTGCTATTGTATATCATCGAATTGGACTCAATCCATAGCTGATCTTCCAGTGAGTTTTCAGAGGCAGTACTCCACACAGGGAGGGAGCTCTGCTGGTTTAGTGGTAAGGAACTGCACTGCCAACCCAAAAGCACGTGTTTCAAATCCACCAGCTGCTCTACAGGAGAAAGATGGGCAATCTCCTCCTGTGTGATTTACTGCCTTTGAAAATTCGCTGGAGGGTCAGGTGAGTTGATGTGACTTGAGGACACTCAATACAACAACAAATGACAGAATCAGTTAGAGGGCAGTGGCTCTCATAAAAGGTTGTTGGCAGCCCCTGCAAGCATTCTTAGAACCCAACTCACACTGTTCTTCAACCTCCCTGACTATTCTTTATCGATCTCAAGCTAGCAGAGCTATATCTTAATTGTAGTTTTACAATTAATTGTGTATTTCAAACTCTGAGTCACAGCCATAAATGGGTCATTAGGTCTATTTAGTAGGACACGACAGCACAGTTTTTGATGAAATGAATGATATAGAAAATATCATAAAGTACTCCAGCACCTTATTTCAGATATATATATGATCTTACACACGCAAATGTACAAAATGTTGTCATATAAAATGCTTAACTTCTGTGGGGTACGTTTAAAAGAATTTAAAAACCATTCCCATAGTCCATATTATTATATTTTCAGTCTCCTGGTGCTTCACTTTTATCTCAGTCTTTTCCTTTTCCAACTCATACGAGCCTCAAACACCTCCTTCCTCCCCACCATCCACCTGTCCTTGCTCCTGCAATCATTCTCCAATGATGATGATATGAGATCTATTGTTGAAAGAAAAAAGGCTAAGTGCAGAGCTACCACTTGTGATTTTAAAAATGGGGATGGAGAATTAGGATAGAGAAAAGTCATATGCAATTGCTGGTATAACAAGTTATCTCGGAAAGAGACACAGGAAATTAGTAGCAGTAAACCAGTATTTAAAAAACAAACAAAAAAACCTTGCAATTAAATAAAAACACACAAACTAGTAGGACTGGCTATGAAGAATGGAGTGGCTAGGAAATGGGGAAGAGCTTGTCATTAAATATTTGTTGTAAAAAAATCCACACAGAGAAACCAACACAAATAAAAAATAAAAAATTCTGTTGTGCCTTTCTAACTTCATACCATGTAAATAGATATTAAAAAGAAGTTAAAAATATATTAAACAAAATTAAATTAGAAAGTCTCCTAGGGAAGCTTATAAAATCCATGTCAAGCTGATTGTTGCCAATGGCTCAAAAACCCCAAACTCAAATGTTGTTGTTGTTATGTGCCGTCAAGTCGTTTGCGACTCATAGCGACCCTATGTACAACAGCCCTAAACCCTGCTCTATCCTGTGCCAATCGCACGGCCTCTGACATATCCATCCCAATTACCCCAGTCACTGAATCAATCCACCTCATAGAGGGTCTTCCCCTCCTGCGCTGTCCCTCTACCCTAGCAAGCATGATGTCCCTCTCCAAGGACCTGTCTCTCCTTACAACATGTCCAAAGTATGTCAGACGAAGCCCCAGAATCCTTGCCTCCAAGGAGTAGCCTGGTTTAACCCTCTCTAGGATGAATCTTTGTTTTCTTGGCAGTCCATGGTACATTCAATACTCTTCTCCAGCACCACAGCTCAAAGGCATCAATTCTCCTTCTATCCTCCCTAGTCATTGTCCAACTCTCTGATGCATAACAAGTGATTGCAAACACCATGGCCTGTATCAGGCAGACCTTAGTCTCCAGAGAAACACCGTTGCTCTTGAGTATTTTAGAGAGGTCCCTAACAGCAGACTTTCCCATCGCAATACGTTTTTTGATTTCCTGGCTACTGGTGCCAAGAGTGTTGACCGTGGAGCCGAGCAAACTGAAGCTGTGAACAATCTCGATCTCTTGGCCATCCATCCTGATGCTACTGATTGGTCCAGTGGTGAGAATCTTTGTCTTCTTGACATTGAGCCTCAGTCCATACTGAAGGCTGCAGTCCTTGACCCTCTGCAATAAGTGCATGAGGTCCTCCTCAGTTTCAGCAAACAGGGTTGTGTCATCCGCATAACGCAGATTGTTGATAGATCTTCCACCAATTCTAACGCCACGCTTCTCCTCATAGAGCCCAGCCTCTCGGATAATCTGCTCTGCATACAGGTTGAAAAGGTATGGAGATAGGACACATCCCTGGCGTACACCCTTCCCAATTTTGAACCATGCAGTGTTGCCCTGCTCTGTTCTGACGACTGCCTCTTAGTCCAAGTATAGATTTCTCATTAGCACAATTAAATGTTCTGGGATTCCCATTCCTCTCAGAGCCAGCTACCAAACAAAAACCTTTATTTGGTTTTTTCTCTGACTTCTCAGGGTTTCCCTTATGATAATATTTAATACCTTTATCTATAATTATCCACTTAAAGCACTCTCGTTTTCTGAATGACCAACACTGAAGTCACCCAGTGCAGCGATCTCGCCCAGGGCTCACCTTACCTGACAGACTGCTTCTCTTTCTCAAACCTCCCCAGTTATATCAAGTACAAGGACTACAGGCTTTGGTCTCTACCTGTCCACAAAGCACCTAGAAAAGTGCTTACACATATTCTTTGCAGTGGGTAACGGGACACGCTTGAGCAGTAGTCATGAGTTTGAAGGCTAGACCTATCATTTAGTAATCTTGTGTCCTTGTGCAAATTACTTTCGCTGAGTTTCAATTTCCTTAACTGAAAAATAAGATTAAGGGAAGCTCTGGTGGCCTAGTGGTAAGGAGCTGCAACTACAATCCCAGGGGTGCACGGTTCGAATCCACCAGATGCTCTGCTGGGGAAGGAGGGACAATCTCCTCCTGTACCAGTCAGATCTGATTTGACGGCACACTCACACAAAAATAATAAAATAAAATAAAAAAAAAGAAAAATAAGAGTAATAGATTAATAGAACCTAAATCTCATAGGGAGTTGGCTGCTAACCCAAAGGTTATGCTTCCCTAGCATCAACTGTTCCTCAGGAGAAGACGGGCAATATCCTCCTGGGCCATTTATAGCTTGGCAAACCCAGTGGAGGGTCAGCTATGAGAGGGCTCCAACATGAAGGCAATGAGTGAACTGAAATCTCAGCGCACTGCTGTAGGGAACAACTAAGAGGGCTTTGTGTATAGTAAGCACTCAAGAAGCATCAACCTTCTCACCCTATCTCTTACTATCCCTCTTCCTTGAGAAGGCAGAACCCTGACTCAGTCCTTACGCTTACCTGTCTCCCAGGTGAGTATGGTCCAGGCTAAGCCAACATCGTGATCTAACTCCCCTTTCTATCCATCTTTTTGTGGCTTACAAGTAAGTCATCAGTTCTGATCCATGACAAATAAAGAGTTTGCTGGAGGAGCGCCCAGAAAGGTCTGCTCACTCTAAAAAAGGCCCACAAGTTTCCTTCTGCTGGATGTTGCCCAGTAATCAATGGGGTGGATGGCACTGTGGTAGTTCCAATGTAAAACGGAATGATAGGATGCAGCTCCATCCCAGATGTACCGCAGTGGCCTGTGTGACCAATAAAATATGGCAGAAGTGTTGATATGTTAGTTCTAGGATTAGATTATTAAAGGCACGGCAGCTCTTGTTCACTCACTGGCTGCCTCTCTCTCCTTTTCTGCTGACAGCATGCTGTAAGGTTTGGTTTCATCCTTGTCTTTCTGGGAGTCCTGACCCTTTCCTCCTTTAACTCTTTTGCACAGCCTATCTTTGACTAGCTATGCCCCTACTTTAGTACCTTAGTAAACCTTTTCTATTTGTTTTGTTAAATTGGGGGGAAAACAAAAAACACTGCAGCTCTTTTGCTGAGCTTCCTGACATCATTATTTCATTTAGCACTTTCTTAGAGCACTTAACTCTGGAAAAAAGCCAGACGAGGACAATGTCTGGCAAAGCTGCCATGGCAAGGAACAGGGACCTGCAGCGTTCACATGAGTGATCTTCCCAGGATGACTAGAGCCTGGGCCAACATCTTGCCTGCAACCTCAGGAGCTGCTGGGCCAGAAGTAGCCTACCTGGCCACTCCCAGTCCCTGGCCCTTGGAATCTGCAGCCACTCCCAGTCCCCTGGCTCTTAGAAACTATGCTGAGAGATGCTTATTGTTCTAAGCTATGGAGCTTGGGGTTATTTGCTACATAGCAATATATAACCAATACAAGTTTGCTTAATTCACACAGAACTAGATGCTTTAAAAAATATTTTGACAATGATTCATACAAATACACTTTAAACCATGACATTTCATTCTATCTCTTATCAAGAAACACAGAATTAGAATAAAAGTTTTATCTTAAAAAAAATCACAATAATTACACTGATTTCTTATAGTGCATTCTAGTATTTTCTATTTTATTTTGTGAGCATGGACCAATATACTGATGATCTCCAACTGCAACTGTCAGTCTGAAAAACCCCCAACTAGAGGCCATCTAAAACATCCACTGCTAATGCCCCTTATCACTTCAAAGCAAGCTGTAGATAAAAAAGCCACTAACCTCTGAACTGAGCAATTAAAACTTCATTTTCTTAGCCTATGAAAATAATATCAGGAAAGACCTCCTTCCCCTGAATAAAGTTTATAAAAAAAAAAAAAGACTTCTAGGTTGCAACACCCCCATGATACATCTTGAAGGATATGTACATGTACAGCCAAGCACAATCAATAAGAGTGCATCTGAATTCCAAAATCAATCTCCATAATAGTCTATGTGTTTCCTACTGCCAAAGGGGCCCTTTAGAGTAGTGAGAGAAGATCTTCACCCTGAAACCCACAGCGTCCCTTTTCAGCAGGAAGTAGCTAAGAGAATACGCCATCCCCTTTTCCTTATGACTCAGGGTGAAGTCTCTCTCAGGGAGGAGTGATAGGGAATGGCAAAGGACACACTGACAAAGAAGATTAATCAGAACTGGCTTTGACAAGCACTGTGGCATTTGGACAAGAACAAACTGGGAGGAGGGTAGAGAGAATAGTGCAACAATGAATGAGTGGAAGCCCAAAATCTCTGTAAATGTTTATGAAAATTAATAAAATATAATTATAGAAAAAAAAAAAAGAAAACAAGTTGCTTTTGAAACAGCAGGTATTCATACCTACAGAGTCGCTGTTTTCCAGAGCAGCCAGCAATTGCTTTGAGACCTTAATCACCACCTGCATATTTCCAAAAAGACCCTCAAAGTCAATGTTTGGGACCTGAGGAAGGGAAGCAAAAGACAAAAATGTATGAAGATGAAATTCTCACCATAATCACTCGCACCGTAATCTCAACAAGGATTCCATTCAAAACCGCTCAGTCATCGTCTCCACTCACTCGCTCACAGAGCCTCCAGAATAAACATCTAACATCATCTGAAGAGTTAGCCTTTGTATTTTATTCAACTCTTTTCCACTCCCATTTCCCTCACTTTAATAAACTAACTGCAGAAACAATCATCTGGTCTAAAATGATGGTGAGATTTGGAGTAGAAAATTACTTAATAGCTAGTGAATACTCTCTAATAAAGGTGAAGAGAAAGAGAAGGTGAAATGAATGGCCAATCACACACTGTTGAATGTGCTAATCAATGTTATAAAGCAGGACATACAGGAGTGACTGATAAAAAGAACCAAAACCTTTGTAAACTTCCACTCAAATTACAATAAAATTTTTGTGGAAAAGAAATGCAAATAATATTATGTTGGGACACAAACTCTCATCCAGCACCCAAAATCATTAGATTTTAGAAATCACTGCCCACTTCCTACAGCACCTGGAAGTGACTGGTCCTAGAAGATATACTCACGCCCCAGGTAGTCAAGTAAAAAGTCATAAAAACAGACTACTCCAGGATGCTGTCAGCCTTGCCTTACAATCTCCAGCATCTACAAAGTACCTAGAACTTGCACATGGTAAGAGTTTGCTGAGTAAGTGAATTAATTTACAAGGAGGTAGCAATACCATTGATGATCCATTATTCCCTGACTTCATTACATTATTAGATGATCGTCCCAGTAAAGCACAATTCAGATGCACTGAAACTGCTCATGAGTTTTTAGTAAGCACAGAAATAGGGAAGAGTCCCAAGAGTTATTGCAGGAAGTCTGTAAGTTAATGAGGGACGTAACTAGTGAGAGTTTGCTGCAGGCTTAAGTTGATGATATATAGATACTCAGACCCCCAAATTAAAGGGGAGGCAGGAGTGACAGCCTTTATATAAAATCCAATTAACTCTGAGGTGAACACTTAATGCTCTAATACTTTAAGGGTCACCTCCGAAAGGGAAGCTGGCCAACCTTCTCCCAGTCCCCACCTGCGCCTGCTGCAAGGGCACCATGATGCGCTCGATACACATCTCCAGGTCCCGGATGTAGTCTTTTTCCGTCTGAAGAAGTTCATCTATCACCTTGGTTCTCTTCTCCAGCATCCTCTGCTCTGGGTTTTCATTGGACACAGACACAGAAGGGGCCAGTGATGAAGACTGGGAGGAGAGAAGGGTCATTTCTAGAAGGCGAAAAAAAAGAGAACTGGTCAGCAGGTCCAGCATGAAAGAGCATGTTCTTTGGGAAAACAGAAGTCTCATTACTGTCAATCCCAGGAAAACGGATCCCACATGTCAGTTCTAACTTCTCGGAGCTTGTGCAATACCATCTCTAGAAGCAGTTCCAAAAAGCAGTAAGTTCTGGGCGGGTAGAGAAGTGCAGCAATGAATGAATGGAAATCCAAATTCCCTTTGGAAAAAGCGCTTGCCCCTATCAAGTGAAGCTTTCACCTAATAATGTCTATTATTAGATGAGCTCAGTAGCAGACACACCACGGTAGAAATGAAAACCATGAAAAAGTACACAAAAAATGACTATTAATGATGGGAAGAGAGAAAGCTGTACTTACTGTATAATTTATCTATAAACCAGAAACTTCTCCAGAATATAGCCCATGAGGAAAAAAAAAGTCTTATGGGGAACAATAAGGTTCCACTAAGGGACAAGAGAATAATTAGTTGGGAATTACCAATTTGGATCTGGAGAACTATATATATGACTTGCAGGCCTCATCATGCTCCAGTCACTGTGGTGGACTTAAAATAAGAGAAAGCAAAAATTCTTATGGTTCCCTACCAAAACACTGAGGAAGACCCGTGCAGGTTTCACTCTGTTATTTCAAATGTTCTATGAAATCGATAAGAACCGCACTGCCATTGCAAAGGTACAATGTTTGAACTCATCAACTGCTTCATGTGAGAAAGATGGGCAATATCCTCTTGTGTGATTGATTGTCTCTTAATACCCACCGAAGGGTCAGCTATGAGTTGGTTTTGACTTGACAGCACATGACCTAACAGTAGATAGGTACAAATACATTAGGAAGATGAAGCTTTCTAATTAGTTCAGAGCAAGACTGCATGATGCGAAAAATAAAAACAAATCTTGCCATTAGGTTTACACTTGATATAGTTAGGTGAACATGACAAGAATTGTTAATTTTTCCCCCCTTCAAATCTAAAAAGAGCTCAGCTCTCAGGGTGGTTCAAGATTCTGACTTTCTGCTTTTCAGAATAAGAAGGACCCATATGATTATTTTCCCCATAATAGATAATTGGGGAAAATCTTGACAGTGAAACCATTTCTTTTGAAATTTCTTTTCTTTTTTTAAAATTTTATTTTTATTATTTTTGTGTGTGTCTCTACCATCAAATCGGAGGATATGATACAGGAGGAAATTGCCCTCCTCCAGCAGAGCATCTGGTGGATTCAAACCGCTCATCTCTGGGATTGCAGTGCAGCGTCTTGCCACTAGGCCATCAGGGCTTGCCTCATTTGAAATTTCTTAAAAGTCCTCCAAAAATGCAAATGTGGCAAATATATATAGTTAAGGAGTTGTACTGCCAACCCAAAGACAGGAAGTTCAAATCTATCAGCTACAAGTATGTTCTCACTTGAAGGTACACTAATAAGCTTATGGGAGCTCTGCTGGCCTAGTGAGTGAAAATTTGTGTTGTCAGCTCAAAGACAAGCAGTTCCAACGCACCAGCTGCTCCGCAGGAGAAAGATGAGCGATCTCCTCCCCCATGAGTAACGGCCTTTGAAAACCCACTGGAAGGTCAGCTAGGAGTCAGTTCCAACGCAACCCAATGAGTAGCAATAGTAGTAAGTTCAAGTATGATAATATTTCTACCAGGATCTCAGGAGCAAAATCCGTGTTCAAACTACTTATGGAAAGTAAGCCTTTTACAGTAGATTCCTTAGCATTTTAATGTTGTGACTGAGGTAATGTTCCTTTGGGGTATTCCAATCCAAAATGCCTAATTTGAAAGGAAATCTTGAGGAAACATCAGACAAACTTAAATTGAGGATTTGTATTCATGAAACCGTGAAAATCATGAAAGACAAAGAAAGCTTGGGAAACAGTTTCAGATGAAAAAGAATTAAAGAGAAATGACAACTAAGTGCAATGTGTGAGTCTGAATGGGATCCTGCCCACCCTCACTCCCAAAAATCATTAGAAAACATTGTTGGGACAACTGATGCAACTTCAAGCAAATGTATTTATATGGAAACAGAGCCCTGGTGGGCTCTACACATAACAGTGTGTTGTGTGCTGAGTCGGTAACTCACAAGTCAGCATCACCCAGAGGCCATTCCAAAGGAGCAAGATGGACAGTCTCCTCCCATGACCATGTATACTTCCTCAGGAAGTGATGGAAGATCACGAGTCAGAATCGATTCCATGGCAGCGGGCTGCTTTATTAGCTACAAGAATAGATAGACTTTAAATTTAAACTTTTTAAGAGGTTTAAGAGGGCACATTTAATGTGGTCATTTAAGAGAAAATAAATATTTTTTTCATTTATATACTTTAAACTAGTAAGAGACATAAGATGTACCACCTACCCAATACCGACCCAATAGTTTATGAGGGAAATATAGATATATGAAAATGCAGATGTGGCACAATGTGAAATACTAGTGAATTTGGGTCGAGAAGTTTATAGGAGGTTTTCTGTATTGTTACGCTTTCTCTATAAATTTGGTGTTGCTTGCTTGCTTGCTATGTGCCGTCGAGTCATTTGCGACTCATAGAGACCCTATGTACAACAGCCCTAAACCCTGCTCTATCCTGTGCCAATCGCATGGCCTCTGACACACCCATCCCGATTACCCCACTCACTGAATCAATCCACCTCATAGAGGGTCTTCCCCTCGTATTGCCCCTCTACCCTCTCCAGAATGATGTCCCTCTCTAAAGACCTGTCTCTCCTTACAACATGTCCAAAGTATGTCAGACGAAGCCCCAGAATCCTTGCCTCCAAGGAGCAGCCTGGTTTAATCCTCTCTACGATGAATCTGTTTGTTTTCTTGGCAGTCCATGGTACATTCAATATTCTTCTCCAGCACCACAGCTCAAAGGTGTCAATTCTCCTTCTATCCTCCCTAGTCACTGTCCAACTCTCTGATGCATAACAAGTGATTGCAAAAACCATGGCCTGTATCAGGTGGACCTTAGTCTATAGATAGACACTGCTGCTCTTGAGTATTTTGGAGAGGTCCCTAACCGCAGACTTTCCCATCGCAATACATTTTTTTATTTCCTGGCTACTGGTGCCAAGAGTGTTGACCATGGAGCCGAGCAAGCTGAAGCTGTGAACAATCTCAATCTCTTCGCCATCCATCCTGATGCTACCGATTGGTCCAGTGGTGAGAATTTTTGTCTTCTTAACATTGAGCCTCAGTCCATATTGAAGGCTGCAGTCCTTGACCCTCTGCAGTAAGTGCATGAGGTCCTCCTCAGTTTCAGCGTGCAGGGTTGTGTCATCTGCATAATGCAGATTGTTGATAGATCGTCCACCAATCCTAACGCCACGCTTCTCCTCATAGAGCCCAGCCTCTCGGATAATCTGCTCTACATACAGGTTGAAAAGGTATGGAGATAGGACACTTCCCTGGCGTACACCCTTCCCAATTTTGAACCATGCAGTGTTGCCCTGCTCTGTTCTGACGACTGCTACTCAAGATAAAAGTTTTAAGAAGACATAACGGAAAGAACATCTCCTTGAGTTTTTCCTTTGTGGAACGAAGGGCAGAGTTTAATCATAAGTCACTTAATCACAGCACTAAAATTCAAAATTCATTACACTCTACATAAAATTTGCTTAATAGTCTTTTTTTTTTAAGGTTACTTGCCTTATTTTAAATCTTCAAGTTTCAAAGCCACAGCAACTCAGTCCCAAAAATAATTTTGTAAATAGTAAATCAAGAAATTAATTTTTAATAACAGTACTTCAAAAATGTAGAAAGGGAGACCATTCACTGAGCTTCTACTAATTACTGTTCTATATTATGCCCAGAATCTCTTCAAAACACACTGGCATTTCGAAGCAGGATTGCCACGCCCATAATAGAGAGAACCTAGGCTGTGGAGGCTAACCAATTTATGAGGTTCACAATTGAGTAATTTTGGCAACAGTTCTAGAATTATAATCTAAATATATTTAAATCCTAATTCCACCCACTCAATCTTGCACCATTTTGCTTCCTGATCTGGGAGTCTCAACTAATAAAAGGTCAGGGACTCATTTGTTTCAAATCCTAACAATTCCCCTACAAAGTATACTTCACAGGAAACAACATTTTCCTAATTGTTTCCACACAGTGGAAAGCACAAAGCTTCACCTGGCATCTATCAGTCAGGTACCATACATCTACAAGAGTCTCAACTGCCATAATTCTATTAAAATAAAGAAAACAAAATGATATCTGTTCCTTGTTTTAAGATATCAACTTGTCTTTTTTCCCCAGACAGACTTATAAATTCTTCAAGAGTTTACAAAACCCCAAACACTTCACCATGGTGAAAAAATTCCTCTGGGATGTTTTTGCTAAATTCCCGAGCACAGAAGCCCTTCAGATTCTGGTTCAGCCAATTTGGGTGGGACCCAGTAACCTGTAATTTTAACAAAAGTCTAGTGGTTTTTTAAAAAATTTTAGGTGTTCCTGAAGAGACAGGTGATCCTCCTTTTGTTCAGGCTGCCCCTGGGCGACAGAGAGTCCATTTCTAAGTCTGTCTTTAGGTTAAATTTGTAGGTCAAGCAGAATAGGGACCTGGGATTCTTATTTAGCGTCAGTTAGCCCACTGTTTGTGTAGTGGTAAGAAGCTGTACTGCAATCCCTAAGGTACCTGTTTCAAATCCACCAGCTGGTCTACAGAAGGATGGGTACTCTCCTGTGCGGTTAATGGCCTCTGAAAAACCGTTGTAAGGTCAGCTGAGGATCAGTTTCAAGTGGGTGGTAGACATCAATAATACATACAAAAAAGGGAGCTCTAATTAGACGTTAGAGGTTAGGAATTGCATTTCCGATACAAAGATTTGCAGTTAGAATCCACCAGCTGCTCTGTGGGAGACAGGCAATCTCTTCCCAGGTGACTGACTGTCTCTAAAAACCCACTGGAGGGTTAGTTATGAGTTGGTTCTGAGCCTAAATAACAACCACATACAAAAGTGAGTA